CTCCCCCAGGACTTCACGGAAATGCTCAGCAAATCTGCAAACCTGTTCCTGGGTGTCGGAGATTGGATCACCGTTTTTTCCCCTAATGATGGTAATAGGTGTGGCGCTGCAGGTTACTTTTTTGATGGAGTTAAATAGAGATTTGTGATCGCGGGCCACTGAGGCAGACTCCATCTCCTCAGCAACCCGCGACCACCACCCATCCTTGCAGCGCCTCACGGCTCTCCGAACCTCCGAGCGAAGGCTGCGATAAGCCTCCTCATTCTCTGACGTGGGATTCTGTAGCCGAAGACAGTGGGCCTGTCACTTTTTCTCAACTATCCTGAACACCTCCTCTGTCAGCCAGGGTCTTTGGGGAGGTCTGGACCGCGTACCCAAAGCAGCCATTGCAGCTGCATGAGTCACAGTCCTAAACCTCGCCCATTTACCCTCGACATCAGGAGGAGTGGGGGATGATGCCAACCCCAGCCGCAAGCGATGATGAAATTCTCGCTTGCAACTTTCATCAGATAACTGAGACCAGGCCACTTTAGGTTGGAATGGGGTCCTGTGTGTACACCCACCACCGGAGTGGAAGAATGGCAGGCGCATCTTACAGATGACTAGTCGATGGTCAGAGGGCAGATCAGCTCCATGGTAGGTCCTGGTGTCAAGGACATGGGCTCGCATCCGCTGGTCCATCACTATGTAGTCCGGCAGATGTTCTTGCTTGGACCCGGCATGCATCCATGATGTTGTGTGGATGCGCCAATGCCAGAACAGCGTGTTGGTAATTACAAGCCCTTGGGCTGCACAAAAATCTAGCAGCCTCCTACCGTTGTTATTGAGCTGATCTGGCCCATGCCCTCCAATCACCCCAGACCAGGTGCCAGCATCATGACCAACTCGGGCATCGAAGTCACCCAATAAGATGACTCTATCCCGAGGGGCCACTTTAGCCAGCACCTGTGACAGGAGGTCATAGAAGGCATCTGACTCATCGGCTTTGCCTGCATCCCTCCACGGATGTTCGTCTTCGGTGGGGGCATAAGTCACCACGACCACCACTCCTTGCCTTCGGTTGATGGGAAGGCGAGCCCAAAGTAGCCTGGGGCTTACAGCTTCCCAGACACAGACACACATACACACACAGACACACACTGACAATGAAACAAAGATACACAACAACCGCCATTCGCCACTAAGTGGCGGTGACGTCACCACGACGCTTGTGCCAGACTATGTGTACGTCGTGTCTCTCTGTGTCTCTGTCTGTGTCTCTCTGTCTGTGTCTCTCTGTCTGTGTCTCTGTCTCTGTCTGTAGCTCTCTGTCTGTGTCTCTCTGTCTGTTTCTCTCTGTCTGTATCTCTCTGTCTGTGTCTCTCTGTCTGTGTCTCTCTGTCTGTCTCTCTGTCTGTGTCTCTGTCTGTGTCTCTCTGTCTGTGTCTCTCTGTCTCTGTCTGTATCTCTCTGTCTGTGTCTCTGTGTCTCTCTGTCTGTGTCTCTGTCTGTGTCTCTCTGTGTCTCTGTCTGTGTCTCTCTGTCTGTGTCTCTGTCTGTGTCTCTCTGTCTGTGTCTCTGTCTGTGTCTCTCTGTCTGTGTCTCTGTGTGTCTCTGTCTGTGTCTCTCTGTCTGTGTCTCTCTGTCTGTGTCTGTCTGTGTCTCTCTGTCTGTGTCTCTCTGTCTCTATGTCTGTGTCTCTCTGTCTCTCTGTCTGTGTCTCTCTGTCTCTATCTCTCTGTCTGTGTCTCTCTGTCTGTGTCTCTGTCTGTGTCTCTCTGTCTGTGTCTCTGTCTGTGTCTCTCTGTCTGTGTCTCTGTGTCTCTCTGCCTGTGTCTCTCTGTGTCTCTCTGTCTCTCTGTCTGTGTCTCTCTGTCTGTGTCTCTGTCTGTGTCTCTCTGTCTGTGTCTCTCTGTGTCTCTGTCTGTGTCTCCCTGTCTGTGTCTCTCTGTCTGTAGCTCTCTGTCTGTGTCCCTCTGTCTCTATGTCTGTGTCTCTCTGTCTGTGTCTCTCTGTCTCTGTCTGTATCTCTCTGTCTGTGTCTCTGTCTGTGTCTCTCTGTCTGTGTCTCTGTCTGTGTCTCTCTGTCTGTGTCTCTGTCTGTGTCTCTGTCTGTGTCTCTCTGTCTGTGTCTCTCTGTGTCTCTGTCTGTGTCTCTATATCTGTCTCTCTGTCTGTGTCTCTCTGTCTGTGTCTCTGTCTGTGTCTCTGTCTGTGTCTCTCTGTGCGTACAGTACTGCATGATCTTTGTAAGGCCGCAAGCAGAACTGTACGTGCCCGTGACGTCACGTCTCTCCCTAGCCTGACAGTGACGTCACGTTCTCCACTATCATGACTGTCGTCACGTTCGCTCCTATCCCGACGATGACGTCACGACTACCCCTCCGACAGTGACGTCACATTCTCTCTATCCTGACAGTGACGTCACGTCACCCCTTATCACGACAGTGACGTCGCCCCCGGATGTTTGTGAATCGGTGGCGGAAGCAGACGCGATTGCGTGAGTGGGCAACCCCAGATTCGGTTTAATAATAAAATATGAAAAAAATATAATTATACTTAATATAACAAATATATTATTTACGTTCAATGTAACATATTTACGCGAATCTAACCACCCCCCCCCCTAAAAAAATGGGAGAGTGAGTGTCTCGACAAAACAAACAATTGGTTTAACACGTAGTAGGAGTCCAGATAATAGGGTTAGTTTGGGTTGGATCGCGTAAATATAAAAATGTTGTGTTGTTAAACCCGCCGCCACCCGACACGGCCAATTAGTAAGGTTTGTCACGCATACAGAGCATGCCAATTCGTTACTAGTACAGCACTAATGTATAGTGTAGTGTGCAGCGTAGTGTATAGTAGTGTATGGTGTAGTATATAGTGTAGTGTCTAGTAGTGTATAGTGTAGTGGATGGTGTAGTGTATAGTGTAGTACAACACCAATTGTATGTTGGGTGAGTAAATCTACTACAATATTCACAATTATAGTGTGTGGTGTATATTGTGTAGTGTATAGTGTAATGTATAGTGTATATTATAGTGTAAAGCGTAGTATATAGTGTAGCGTGTAGTGTATAGTGTAGTATATAGTGTAGTGTATAGTGTAGAATATAGTGTATAATGTGCAGTGTATAGCGTGTAGTGTATAGTGTAGTATATAGTGTAGTGTATAGTGTAGTATATAGTGTAGTGTATAGTGTATAATGTGCAGTGTATAGCGTGTAGTGTATAGCGTGTAGTGTATAGTGTGCCGTGTATAGTGTGCAGTATATAGTGTAGTGTATATTGTAGTGTATAGTGTGTATATTATAGTGTGTAGTGTATAATGTGCAGTGTATAGTGTAGCGTGTAGTGTATAGTGTAGTATATAGTGTATAATGTGCAGTGTATAGCGTATAGTGTAGCGTGTAGTGTATAGTGTAGTTTATAGTGTATAATGTGCAGTGTATAGCGTGTAGTATATAGTGTAGCGTATATCATGTAGTGTACTGTATGTAGTAGTATATACTGTGTAGTATTTAGTGTAGTGTAAAGTGTAGTGTATAGTGATGGAGTGTATAGTGTAGACTATACACTTCGTGATAAATGTATTGTTTTATATATATTATTTTATTGTTTCCCTTCCACGTGGTGACTTTACCGAAAGAACCAAGATTATGAATCCCTGCAGTCATGAAAGCTTTAAATCAAAATTTAAACTCTGATAATATTATATGGCAATGTCTTATAAACTAATTAGCCTACACCAGAGAGAGCAGCATCCTTCTGTATCGCCTAGTCTCACCACCAGTGTTACTAGACCAGTATAATGATATATAAAATTTTGATTTAAAGCTTTCGTGACTGCAGGGATTCATATTCTTGGTTCTTTCGGTAAAGTCGCGTAGAAGGGAAACAATAAAATAATAAAAATATAAACCACAGCAAGAAATTTTTGTTTCTAATTTTTCTTGCTGTGGTTGTGTTGCAGTCGAAACGTCGTGAAATTTTTAATGTTTTATATTTGTATTATTTTATTGTTTCCCTTCTACGTGACTTTACCGAAAGAACCAAGAATATAATATATTATTACTTACGTAGGCACTACCTTTAATACTAATGTAATTATTGTGTTATGTGCATTGTTTTTTAAACTAATTGGCCTACACCAGAGAGAGCAGCATCCTTCTGTATCGCCTAGTCTCACCACCAGTGCCAGACGAGAGAACAACGTCAAAAGGCGAACAGTGATTTGTTTACTTTTCCTACACTTTGCACTCCTATTGTGTTTGTGTATTGTTTGTTGGTGTTACGTTCTGACCCCGTGCTCCTACTGGACATCTGTGAAAAAAGAGCTTTATAGCTCATCGGATTAAAGATTGATTCTGATTGTGAACTTGCAGTCGCCTTGGACATGGGAAAAGGGTTGACGTGAAGACAAGAGGAGAGCATTGATTTCCTTATTTGTGCTTTTCATTGCGCGCCCCAGTGCTGACACGGACGGACGGACGGACGGAGCAAAGATGAAGATCTTCTGCCCGATCTGCAAGTGGCTCGTGGTCAGCCTGCCCGCCCTGGAGGACCACATGAAGCGGCACAGGGGGTGTACCGAGCCCACGCTGTTCCGGTGCCCCCACTGCCCTTTCAACACGGACAAGCTGAACGTGTTCATCGACCACCAGGCGACGCACGACGCTCGCGCGTCGGACAAGTGCGCGAAGTGCGGCAAGGTCTTTATAGACGCCGAGGTCTTCCGTGAGCACCAGGCGGCGCACTCCGCGGAGAAGCCCTACGGGTGCACTGGTTGCGAACTGGCATTCAGTCGGTCGCAGGACCTCGACGAGCACCAGAGGACACACGCCAGCAAGGAGCCCTACCGGTGCGGCGTCTGCGATGCGACGTTCGCGAAGGCGACGACCTTCATCTCGCACAGGAGCACGCACGCCAGCAAGAAGCTCTACCACTGCACCGTCTGCGGCATGGAGTTTTCCCGCTCGGACCACCTGCGCAGCCACCAGCGGACGCACACGCGGGAGAAGCCGTTCGCGTGCGCCGAGTGCGGCGAGGCGTTCTCGCAGTCGGGCGCCCTCGTCCGGCACCAGAGCGTACACACGAGCGAGAAGCCCTACAAGTGCTCGGTGTGCGGCAAGGCGTTCGCCCGGTCGCAGTACCTCCTGATGCACAGGAGGAGGCACACGGGCGAGAGGCCGTACGCGTGCGACGTGTGCGGGAAGGCGTTCGCGCAGGCCAGGGTCCTCCTCGGGCACAAGAGGACGCACACGGGCGAGAGGCCGTACGCGTGCGCCGTGTGCGGCAGGGCCTTTGCTGAGCCGGTGGCCCTTCGCATACACAACAGGATCCACACGGGCGAGAAGCCGTACGAGTGCGCCGCGTGCGGGAAGGCGTTCTCGTGCGCCGGGGGGCTTCGCGCCCACACGATGGTGCACACCGGCGAGAAGCCCTACAAGTGCGACCTGTGCGAGAAGGCGTTCCAGCGCTCGGGTGCGCTCAAAACGCACAGGAGGAGCCACGCGGAGGAAAAACCCCGAGAGTGAAAGCGCCCTCGCGGGTCGGAGAGGTCCCTCGGCTCTCATGCCCGAGAAATGATGCCGGCACGGAGAGCTGAAATACGATATTTACCCCAAAATTTGAAAAACAGTTTGGTGGCTGCCTGGTTGGGCTGACACGCGGGCGAGCCCAATGCACGCGGTGGTAATGTCGCCTGCATCCCACAGCAGCGTAGAGCCCGAGTTCGTGCATCTTCATGCCAGCACGCGTCCGTCCTCGTACCGCCCTCTCGCGTGGCGAACTTGTTGCGACAAAAAAAAAAACTGTTTGGCCTCTCCGGCCATTGCCCCACAGCTGTGGAATGAGACCGGCCACGGAAAGTTCCACAACTCTCGCCGAGTCACGTACGCGAACGTACGCACGTGTGCGTGTACGTTGAACTCGTTTCGCACCGTACGTAGGCAACCACGCTAATCGGAGGTGTGGGGTGGGGGGGGGGGGAAAGGGACAATAAACGCAACAAGTAGTTCTAAAGAAATTCGTTTTCAACGTAGATTTAAAAGTGCATAGCTCCCTTATGCTTCCTAATATCGGAAGGAAGAGCGTTCCGGATGGCCGCAGAAACAGCGCATCTGAGAGTGCATGATGCAGTGACCGTCTTTGTTCGACGGGTTAGCCGGAAACCGCTGCTGCTGCTGCGAGAATGACCGGAATTCGCGTGATGTTGGTTCATGCTCCTTGACGAGATCAGCGATATATTGTCGTGCTTCATTTGTGGCAAGCGCTCTACGTGCAATGAGCGCGGCGACCTTTATAGCAATGTTTTCGTTCGGCCAATGGTCATGTAAGTTATGGCCGAAATGACCATCCGCATGCACGAGTCGTCCCCGGCTTATCGCGAATCCGTTTGGCACAAGCGATTTACAAAGTTAGGGGCGGACGCCCGATCGCCGCGCTCGACTTAACAGGATTTTACACCCTTGTCCGTGGGGTTTTTCAGAAGCCGAAATTTTCCGCCACGTTCCCGCGTAGGGTACGGTACCCGAGGGTGAGGAGGCAACAGGCGCGTCGCGGGCGGCTGTGGTGACAGCGGCCGCAGCAGCGAGCCCCCCCCCCCGCACTCAGTCTTTGTTCCACCTCGTGCCAGCTCGTGCGCGTGCACGTGTTTTATCTCACTCTTCTATCCCTTTGCGTTTGCTCGAATACTACGACAGTGAAACCTTGGATTGCGAGTAACTTGGTCTGCGAGTGTTTTGCAAGACGAGCAAAAATTTTAAGTAAATATTAATTCGATTAACGAGCGAGGGTCTTGCAATACGGGCAGTGCACGTGTGCACGCTTTGTACTGCCGAGCGTCACGTGATCACACAACTGATACACGAGTGCTTTGGATTACAAACACGTTTCCGGAACGAATTATGCTCGCAATCCAAGGTTTTACTGTATAATCAGTCAAGAATGTGTGTTCCGTGCGTGACGTCACTCCACATGAGGCCCACCCACCCGCGTGACGTCACTCAACATGAGGCCCACCCCCCCCCCCTCATTGACATTCATGAGCGGGTGGATTTTTACACTTAATGCAGAGGAAGGTCGAGCTGAATTAAATAATTTATTACGCAAAGTCACTTCAAATATGACGTTTCTTTACAGAAAGTGACGGTAAAAAAATAAATATACGCAGCACACTGGAACATCCGTGTGTGACGTCACTGAAAAAGAGCCCCCCCCCCCCCTTCATTAATATTCATGCCCAGCGTGGAAATTTACACGAACGCACAAGAAGGCCGCGCACTCCACATGCCGCACCCCTCCCTGAATTAATAATCCTGAGTGGGTAACGTGACTCCACATGCCGCAGCACTCCACAATAACCATGAGGGGGTGACGTCACACCACATGCCGCACCCCTGCACAATAACCATTAACGGGTGACGTCACTCCACATGGGGCAACCCCTCCCCCCCCCCCCTCATTACAGATGATGAGCTGAACAATTTTTCCATTGAATATTTAACATTTACTGCAATATACACCCGTCCTTGGACGGGCAAAAAAGCTAGTCTATTACAAAAGCCCGGCGTCCCATTTGTACGTTTGTCCGTCAACTAAATGATGAGAGCCTTTCGGAAGGCATGATTAAAAAAGTTATAGAAAGTGGACCCCCCCCCCCCCGCAGATGTGGAGGTAAAAAGTTGATCCAACAGGTTTACAAAAATGGTTAACCCCCCTGCCCAAAAAAATGAAGTCACTCCACTCCCACCCCCTATAAAGACATTTCTTTTGTAGGCATGTATGCCTACACACCCTACATACAATAGATTCAGCAGTACATACTACACACCCTACATTTAATAGAGTCAGCTGATACTACTGACTTGTATGGTATGTAGGGTGTGTTGTACGTAGGGTGTGTAGGCATAAGTATATGCCTACACACCCTACATACAATAGAGTCGGTATCTGCTGACTTGTATCTACTGACTATTGTATGTAGGGTGTCAATCTCGATTTGAAGCTTTCGTGACTACAGGAATCCATACTCTTTGGTTCTTTCGGCAAAGTCACGTAGGTAGACTAATAATAAATCACGACGTTTCAGTCGCAACAACAAGCAACCGTCTTCAGGTGAGAGAATTATAATCATCGGTTGACGGCTCAGAATCGTTAGTAAGCGATCCAAAAAACACGCCCTCGTTGACGTCACGACACCATATATGGGCAAAGACGTCCACTTCCAAGTGTTTGCTTTTATTTGTCCGCTGTTATCGTATTACAGCGCCCCCTCGTGGTGGCTATGGTGTTTACGATATCCAAGGCAAAAAAACCGTCCTATACACAAAGACGCTGCTGTCCAACGATGTCTAACATCCTTTACACGTTTTTTGTTTGTTACTGGGTGCAACTGTGAACAACAGCCATATCAGACATGAGTGCAGTCTAATCGGCATAATCATCGGTTCACTGAAACTCAAAAGACCGACTCCTCCAAGGCGTGCGGTGACATTCGGAGATGTCCACGTGGTGCTCGGCATTTGAAGGCCCCCGGAGACCAGAATCGATGAATTCACTGACAATGTGTTCGGGAACACAAGTTCCATATCCGGACAGCAGAGTGAAGAAGAACGGTGACAGGGAGCAATGTTCTGGCAACTGTATGGTGGGAGGCAAAGGCCAATCTCATCAAGTTGCGCTACAACCGGCTGCATCACCACCAGGCGGCGGCAATTCTGACCCCAAAATCGATAGAACGAGCCCGTTGCATGAATCAAAATGCAAGAGCGTCGTCTGAGCCCGCGCTCGGCCAGCAACCACGTGCGAATGTGAAAAGAAAAAGTCAAAAGACAAAAGACTGTTTCGATCTGCCTTTTAATGTCGAAACCAAAGCCTCTGTTACAATCACCGTCACCCGCACCCCATGGGAGCGCCAACGTGACCACCACCGTGACCGCCACCGTGACCGCCACCGTGAACCCCACCGCCACTGCGACCGCCCTCCAGGGGCAGCTGCAGAGTTGACCGTCAATAGCAGTGACCACCTTGTCGACATCATAATCATCATCGGCACCACCATCATCATCATCATCGTCGTAACTGTTAACACCAGCACCGTAATGTATGAAAAATATTGAATCTACCAACGTAATCAATACCAATACCCGCCATTCGCCACTAAGTGACGGTGACATCACCACTGCGCCTGTGCCAGGCCAGGTGCACTTTGGGGCCACGTGAAGTGTCGAATGCTCTCGCTGCTGGCAGGAGGAGGTCATGTGGCTGACCAAGATGACTGACAGATGCACCAGCTGTGCCCCCGACAGTGCTAATTAATCACCACCACCACCACCACTTTTGCATCGTGCATCATAACTCAACGCCACCTTTCAGTAAGTGGAAGGTTAACGATTGAACCACAGTCGTGCAACTGTGGCCGTGCAAACCAATACCTATAGACCCATACAGCAAACCCACAGATACCCTCAGAGACTTGTAGACATACGCAGAGACAGATACATTAAAGACAAGCCAGAGCAGCGTGACTGTGGCCATGCAACCCAAACTACGGACCTTCTAGCAGTAAACCCACGGCGGTTTACACGAACTCTCTCTCTCTCTCTCTGCTGAAGCCCTCTCGTCGTGGTGGCCAGGAGACGTCAACATTGGCATCAAGCTCTGAGTCAGTGATCGTGATGTTGATGGTGGTGGTGTTGATGATGGTGATGGTGGTATTTATGGTAGTGGTGTTGAGAAATGATGGTGGTTGATCTGGAGAAGTGAGACAGGGGCCGGGATCCTCTGTGTAACGATGCTGTTGTTGATGATGTTGATGGTGGTGTTGATGGTAGTGGTATTGAGAAGTCACGGTGGTCTATCTGGAGTAGTAGGGAGACAGGGGCCGGTATCCTCTGCGCAAGGATCGCTTTTTGCGGTAGACGAGGGCGACCGCCACAATGAAGGCGGCGGCGATGACGGCGATCGGAGTCACGAACTGCGACACAGCCACTGTGGTGCGGGGAGAGAGACAAGTGCACATCGTCACCATCACATCGTCATCGTCACCATCACATCATCATCATCGTCACCATCGCATCGTCATCATCATCGTCACCATCACATCATCACCATCATCACTACTGTCAACATCATTATCATCGCTATCACTATTAACATCACTATTAACATCATTAACATCATCACTATGCACATCATTATCATCACTGTCAACATTATCATCACTATCAACATCATCATCACCAACATCATCACTGTCACCATCACTATCAACATAGATAAAACATCATGGGACCTCCTTTGCCAATACCAAAATATGATAATAGGTTTCACGATTCCTTGTAAAAGGTTTCAGTTTGGGGTTTTAACATCTTAACACCTGTTTTGTTGCAACTAAATCTATGGAATATCACAAATTGCTTCTTTCTCTACCGGCTGTTTCCCCATCTTCTTCTTAAGACTGGGCCAAAATAACCCCCATTATATATATGCTGAAACCCCCCCCCCAACCTAAACCACGACCCCCCATCATACTATCATCCCATCACCAACCTGTCCACTTTCTCTAAGCTGCTTGAGCGCCCTGCGTTTGCACAGCTAAAGCCCCAACATCACCCCACCTCCAAGCTTCTGTCCTCGTCAAATCGGCTTATCGCAAAGCGTGCTCTGCCTTGACCGCCCCCGCTTGCGTCCTCGATCGAATCCTGCATATCGCTGACTCCTTGACATCTCCGCTTTCGGCATCACTGGTGCGGTTGTCAGCCGGATAAAATCTTTCGTCTCTGGCAGAGTACTCCGCCATTACATTTGGCAACTTTTCACCGCCTTGTTTCACCACGGGCTGCGGGCGTCCCTCAGGGATCCGTTCTCGGACCGCTTCTCTCCACGCATCACCCATCGGACGACTCATCGATAGCTTCGGGAAATCACCGTCACTCGTACGCCCAACGACACTTTTTTCATGCCGCCTTCACCCCCCACCTGACACCGCTGGGGCTCGCACTTCTTCCCGACCGCTCTTTCGCACACCCCAGCACTGCTTCTGGCCTCACGGTCTCTCGCGCAACGCTCGGCCCCATTTTCACCGCCTGCAACCATCCTTCCTAATCGCTGGGTCTGCTGTTAAATTGACCGACCATCTCAAATTTCTGGGTGCCCACCATGGACTTCCACCCAACTCACACCAACCTGGTCATCGGAAACTGTATCTACCACTCATCACCATAGACGTCGCAAACGAACGTGGCGTGCAGCATCATCGGTTCGCGCATCGATGACTGCAGCCCAGCACTCACCCGGCCCTCACGAAACAACCTGAGGACACTTCAACGACTGCAAAACCCACCAGGCGCGCATTGTCCTCACCTCCCACCAACCGCGTCTGACCTACGACTCTGCTCTCCAGAACCTCCTCTGGCTTCCCAAATCCCCATCAGAATCACCTTCAAAATCGCTCGCTTCTGTCACGATGCCTACAGGACTGGTCCGCCCTCCGTAACCTCTCGGACCACCTGACGCCTCGCTCCCAAACCACCAATCGGAGCTCTCCAAGGCTCGACCCGGGAGTTACTCTCGACACCAGAGAGAGAGAGTCAGGGCCACGACCGCCATGCGTCATTTTTTTCGTTGTCTTGCCGCTTCCTCCACCTCGAATGCCACCCCCCCCCTCCTTTCACATTCGCAGCGCTTGACTCTTTGGCAACCTTTAAGCGCCTTCTCAAAAAAAAAAATCTCTTTATATTTCACTTTTACTTGAGCGGATCTCTGAGCTGCGTTCCGCGCCTCAAGGGTCGTTGCCTTCGGGGCGAGTGAAAATTGCGCCCGTTATAAATCGGCATTATCGTGAAACAAAATCACCCAAACACGTACAAATACGAAAACCAAGCCATCCCCGTCCTACCAACAAAGCTGCCCATCACGTGGACGTTTACATCTCGCGGGCTAGGCCCTGCACCGGCTGGGTCGGCGATGTTCGAGCGTCCGTTACCGGCCGAGCGTGCGCGCTGACCGAAGACGAGCGGCCCGCGGGACACGGTGTGCACCGCCGACTCGACGATCTCCCCCATGGCGACGGCGCTCCTCCTGCGCCGGGCGCTGTTCACGCAGCCCTGCTGGCAGCGCGTGCCCGCCTGGCCCGCCTTGCACACCAGCACGTCGCAGTGCAGGAAGACCTGGGGGGGGGAGGGGAGTGGGGAGTGGGGGGACACGTGGGTCAGTGACGTTGCAGTGGGGGGGACACGTGGGTCAGTGACGTTGCAGTGGGGGGGACATCTGGGGGGGGGGTGAGGAGTGGAGGGACACGTGGGTCAGTGACGTCGCAGTGCAGGAAGACCTGGGGGGGGGTGGAGTGGGGGGGACACGTGGGTCAGTGACGTTGCAGTGGGGGGGACACGTGGGTCAGTGACGTTACAGTGCAGGGACACCTGGGGGGGGAGGAGTGGGGGGGGACACGTGGGTCAGTGACGTTGCAGTGCAGGGACACCTGGGGGGGGGGGGAGGCGGGGGGGGGTGGGGGGGGGGGGGACACGTGGGTCAGTGACGTTGCAGTGCAGGGACACCTGAGGAGTGGGGTGGTGGGGAGGGGGGGGATGGGGGACACGGGGGTGGGGGGGAGACACGTGGGTCAGTGTAGACAGACCAGCACGTCGCAATGCAGGGACACCTGGGGGAGTGGGGTGGGGCATGGGTGGGAGAGACGGGGGGGGGGTACACACGGGTCAGTGACGTTGCAGTGCAGGGTTATGGGGACATGGGGGGACACGGGGGGTGGGAGGGATATATGGGTCAGTGTGAACACACACATAGACCAGCACGTCACAGCGCAGAGACACCTGGAAACACGGTGTAGCAGCAGAGCGTCCAACTCCTGAGAGTGAGCAGCAATCGCCAGATGGTTGGCGGACATGACACGTTTTACCAATGGGGAGCCATCCTTCGACCGCACTCAGGTATCTATCAGCTTCCCATTGTATCTGTACTAGACGGAAATTCCTCCAGTACAGCCATGGAAAGCTTGGTTTGGGTTAGATCGCGTAAATATATAAATGTGTCGTTAAACCCGCCACCACCCGACAGCCAATTATAAAGGTTCGTCACATAAACAGAACATGGCCAATTCATCACGAGTACAGCACTAGTGCATAGTGTAGTGTTTAGTGTCGTGTATAGTAGTGTATAGTGTAGTATACTAGTACAGAGCACACCGGTGTGTTGGAGAGCCAAGCCACACGATTTACGATCTGAGTACGACGTTTGGCCAGTAATTACAACAACTAGCTTCATCAAGCGACGGCCAGATTTGTGGAGATGTCCTCCTGTTTCGTTCCTTAAAAAGAGATGTAGATATTCTTAGCTCTTTTGGTAAAGTCACATTGAAGGGAAACAATAAAATATATATTAAACAATAAAATGAAATATTTTATTATTTAATTGTTTCCCTTCAACGTGACTTTACCGAAAGAGCTAAGAATATGAATTACTGCCGTCACGAAAGCTTTAAATCAAAATGTAGAGGGGTAGATGTGATGACGTCACTTGTGCGCTCATCTTGCGCGAAGTTTGTAGCTATGCGAACGGTTACAATAATTTTTATTTCTCTCAATTTCGATATATTCTCTTATTAAGTCTTGGCCAGTTGTAACAAGTTTTGCAAAACATCTGAGTCAGATTTGGCACAGTACATACAATACAAAAATTTATATCTGGTACAAAAAAATGTATTACCAAAGCTATCAACAGAGGGTGTGTCAGTTTAACACGTAGGCTTTCGCGACCAATATTATTCATAATAAAAGGTTTTTGGGTTAGATCGCGTTTATTTATAAATGTGTCGTAACCCTCCACCACCCGACACGGCCAATCAGCAAAAAAAGTATCACGTTGACAAGACAAATAATTCACTACTTTAGCCCACCGGTGTGTTGAAGAGTGAATCCACATTTACAGTTTGAGTACGACGTTTCGCTGGTAAATACATCCAGCATCATCGGGCAATTCGCCAGAATGGTAAAGCCCTCGCTTGCTCCCGGTTTTATATAGAGCAGCAGCAGGGTGACGTCATCACTTAACTCATATCAGGTGCAGTGATTAGAGGTGGAGGGGGGGGGTATTGTAATTATATAATCGATTAGTAATCAGTCATTGGTTATGATTAGTAATGAGTTGTAGATTAGTAATTCTTTAAATCAAAATGTAATGTGTATTATTTAATAATACGCATCCAGGCCGTACTAAGCCGGTAGCTGTCAGAGCGATTAAAGTTATTCTTGTTCCTCTCAATTTCAATGGATTCTCTAATTGACCAGTAATTACAACAAATGCTATATTGGGCAAACAGGACAAATGATCAGCACGAGGCTAAAATGACAAAATAAATACTAAATACTCCTAAATACAACTTGTCAGCAGGGGCAGGACACGTGTGTCAACAAGGACACTCAATTGATTTCGTTCATTTTGAAGTTATGTGCAAAACTAGTTACTACTGGCCAAGACTAATTAGAGAATCCATCGAAATTGAGAGAAGTTAAAATAATTGTAACCGTTCAGATAGCTACAGACTTAGTGCCCGGAGGTTTCGGAGAGCCATACGGCTCTCCGAACCTCCGCGCGAAGGCTCCGGTAAACCTGCTCATTCTTTCCCAAGGGGATATTTTAGCCAGCACCTGTAATAGGAGGTCATAGGAGGCATCTTCCCCACTGATGTTAATATTAAGTGGGGGCATAAGCCACCACCACAACCATTCCTCATCTCCCATTGATGAGGAGATGAGCCAACAGTCGCCTGGGACTCATAGCCTCCCACACTTCCGTGATACACTCCCATGCTCCCTTCATTTTTTTGTTCCAGTGGCTGCCTGTTGTTTGGCAATTTTTTGTTCCCGAGTGGAAGATTGTCCACCCCACGTAGTGACTGGAGCCCACCGGATCTCCCGTATTCCACAGAGGTCCAGGCGGTACCGGTCCAGCTCCCGACAGAGGAGTGGCAGCTTCTTCTCTGCGGTGGGCGTTTGAACATTCCACGCGGCCACCTGCAATGGTTTCCTACTAATGGAGGGACCCCACGTGGGGGGGGGGGGGGGCTTCAACCTCCTGGCTCCACAAAATGAAATGGGGGTTTGTCCAGGAGATATCGTAGACGGTTGTCCCCAACCTCACAGTGGCCTCCGGCAAAGGCTTAGTTTGTTCTATCACATTGTATTTTTTGGTAACTTAATTGAAGGCGGGGTGGTGGATCAGCTTCCGGTCGCACGTGTCCAGAGCCCCCGTTGTCCATTGGCTGTTGCCCTCATCATGAGGGCAACAGCCAATGAGTATCGACCCCTCCGCCCCCCCCGCGCAACGGCTATCGCTCACAGCCAGCGCAGTGCGACCGGCGAGTGGCAACGAGGCGGGGGATTTGCCCCCCGCCCAGTAAAGCACGCGCGGCTGACACGACGCACTCCCAACGTCTCGCGCGCCCACCTGCTTGAACTCCCCGACGAAGGCGAAGGCGGTGAAGCTGAACTGGTTCTTCTTGAGGAAGCTGCTGTAGCTCTTCCACGTCGAGTCCAGCACACAGCTGTTGGGTGGGGGTGGGTGGGGGGGCGATAACATACAAAGACAAAGATCTCCCCTTGTAGCCTCACACAGACTGTTTTGGGGCAAGTGCTGTTAGCGGCGAGTAGCAGCACTCCTACGGAGACCTGCATAGCACGTCCGGCGGTGGGTGGCCAGCACCACGCCCGGCCACCTTTGTCTCTCGAGTGGCAATGTTCACTGTGCACCGCTACACCAGGTGCTCTGCTGCATGGCCTCTCTGCTTCCTGCCCTGTTCCTTCACCCCTGCCTCTCCCCCTCGCTCGCTCGCTCGCTCGCTCGCGTGGCTTTCCCACGGGGTGCTCCGGTTTCCTCAGTCTCCTCCCACACGTAGCAAACGCTCGTTATTAATTGGCCAAAGGAAAACACCCGAATATACAGAGGACTGCAGAGCTTTGGGCAATAACTGTTGGTTTGCGCCGACTCGTTGTGCCTTCCCGCTCTTCTGTGCTTCTCTCCTGGAGCATCTGAGTCGCCCTCCCTACCATCACCGTCCCTTTCTCTCGCTACGAAAGCAAGCGGACACTGCCCAGTGACGGCGCAGAGTTACGAGTCGACGTGATTCCTCCAGTCGAAATCAATGATTCCTATTGCGATTATTGAGTGAGGAGGCGCTCCGCTTTTCCCTCTTCCCCTCCATCCCCTCCATCCTCATCCCCCTCTCCCTGTCCCTTCTATCCCTTTAATTTTTGTTCTTATTCCCTCAACTTCCCTTCCCTTCCCCCCATTATTAACAAAAATCCACGCTCCCACTCGCGGTCCACACTTGGGTGGGGGCAGTGAGCCCCAATTTCTACACCCCCCGCCCCCCCCCCCCCCACCTGCCATAAACACCCAGGGAGCACTGAGTTTAGGACCTTTTTTGTCCATGAAGTTTCCGTGACCCACCCACCCCTTTCCCTCTTTGTCACGGTTTACGCTCTGTACCGGGGATGTGTTGCATCACCGCAACCCCCCCCCCCCCACGCGCCCCACACACCGCCTCCCAATTTGTTTTTTACGAATGAAACTTAAAAAACTTTAATCGAACGTGATAAAAAAACCGGGGGGCGCTTTCGCGTACCCGTTCTTGACGAGGTCGTATCGGATGGGGTCCTGGGGGTCCCCGCTGGGGGTCGCGAAGCAGTTCTCGGTGAAGAGCGTGACGCTCAGGTTGGACTTGACGGCGAGCTGGACGAAGACGTTCTGGTTCTCCTGGACGTGCACGGGGTAGTCGCTCTTCTTGTACGGCAGCGCGAAGCGCTCCGAGTGGTACAGCTCGATGTTGAAGACGAAGTCGCCGAAGCCCGTCTCCGTCACGAAGATGCTGCCCGTGTCCGGCACGAAGTTCACCGCCAGGCTGCGGCGCTTGTCGTACTTACACCTGGAGAGCGAGAGCCAGAGAGAGAGAGACGATGCGAGACGGTGGCAGAGATCGTGGAGATGAGACGAGAGATGAGGATGTTTCACAGAGAGAGAGAGAAAGAGAGGGACAGTGGAGATGAGATTAAGATGAGAAACGAGAGTCAGGATGTTCACAGAGAGAGATCGTGGAGATGAGATGGAGATGAGGATGTTCACAGAGAGGGATGCGGAGAGATGGTGAGAGAGATCGTGGAGATGAGATGGAGATGAGAGATGTTCACAGAGAGATCGTGGAGATGAGATGAGAGATGAGGATGTTTCACAGAGAGAGAGAGAAAGAGAGGGACAGTGGAGATGAGGTTAAGATGAGAAACGAGAGTCAGGATGTTCACAGAGAGAGATCGTGGAGATGAGATGGAGATGAGGATGTTCACAGAGAGAGAGATGCGGAGAGATGGTGAGAGAGATCGTGGAGATGAGATGGAGATGAGAGATGTTCACAGAGAGATCGTGGAGATGAGATGAGAGATGAGGATGTTTCACAGAGAGAGAGAGAAAGAGAGGGACAGTGGAGATGAGATTAAGATGAGAAACGAGAGTCAGGATGTTCACAGAGACAGATCGTGGAGATGAGATGGAGATGAGGATGTTCACAGAGAGAGATGAGGAGAGATGGTGAGAGAGATCGTGGAGATGAGATGGAGATGAGAGATGTTCACAGAGATATCGTGGAGATGTGATGAGAGATGAGGGTGTTCACAGACAGAGACCGTGGAGATAAGGTGGAGATGATAGAATGTTCAGAGAGAGAGATGGCGGGAGTTACCGTATGTACGTATCTGGCAGCGGTGGCATCGCGACCACTCACTCTGCCTCGCCGCGTGAAGCCGTCGAATGGATGGAGAACATCGACAATCAAACCGCAGCCGCTTCCACCCCCCCCACCCCACACAGCCATACGACGATGAAGAATAAGAAGAATAAGATGATGAGAAGCGAGCGAGGCGCTGAATGAGCAAATAGACTAGGGCACGTCCGTCGCCTGTCAACATGGCCGGAGCAGTGAGGTTGTCTCCCCGATGGCGGGCGGGGGGGGGAGAGCGGAGGTGGGCACTCTGAGCAGAGAGGTCGAGGTTATGCATTCGCTTTAGGGCCGTCCATAAATGATGTCACGCGATTTTGGACGATTTTTTACGCCCCCCCCCCCCACATCGTCAGACGGCGTCACAAAAAGTCAGAACCCCCCCCTCAAATATGACGTCACAAAGCTCTGCCCCCCCCCCAAACCATATTTCCATTTTGAAAATGAAACATGCTTCAAATCGCTTTAAACTATTGTCATTGTAGTGCGTATTTAATGTGGCACTGCACTCTGATGTTGTAGGAGTGTTATTACAATTAGTGTTACAGCAATTCCATATTTATATTCTTGGTTGTTTCCCTTCTACGTGGTGACTTTACCGAAAGAACCAAGAATATGAATACCTGCAGTGACGAAAGCTTTAAATCAAAATTCCATATTTATTTAAAGTTGCGCATTTAGACGTGACGTCACATTTCTCAAACACCCCCCCCCCCCCTCGTCACACATCGTCACAAATGTCTGACCCCGCTCCTCCCCCCCCCCAGGTGCGTGACGTCATTTATGGACGATGTAATACATCGTCGCGGGGGGTAAGAGCGTGGGGCGGGGGGGCGCGACACGTACGTGAGTGGGACCTGGACGTCATTGAAGTTGCGGATGATGGGCAGGCTCCTGTTGGCCGACTTGAGGGTGAGCGTCTGAGAGAAGATCATCTGCGAATCCGTCTCCTAGTGGGGGGGTGTGACGTTAGCGAGACGAGTTACTTATGGAGGTAACGTCGCCCCCGAGGTTTCGGTGCGTCTCGTCGGCGTGAGTGGCGTGAGTGGCGTGGCGGGTGGGTTGGGCGGGGAGGGTGGGGTTGGTGGAGAGGGAGTTTCTGAGTTTTGACTTGAACGCGCCGTACTATACACGACACTATTATACAGCAGGATTGAAGCTTTCGTGACTGCAGGAATGGCTATGCTCATTGGTACTTTCGGTAAAGTGGCGTATGTAGAAATAAAATAAAAAAATAAATCACGACGTTTCGAATGCAAAACAAGAGCCGTCTCACCTGAGGACGAGCGCTTCGTGTTGCGTTCGGTACGTCGTGATCTATTTGAATTTTATTTTGTATTTTCTTTCTACGCACGTGACTTTACCGAAATAACCTATGAGTATATTATACAGTACTATACACTACACTACTCTACACTACACTGCTACATACTACACTACTATACACTACTATATACTACACTACTATACTATACACTACACTACTATACACTACACTACTATATACTACAATATACACTACACTACTATACACTACACTACTATACACTACACTATACACTACTATATACTACACTACTATACACTACACTACTATATACTACAATATACACTACACTACTATACACTACACTGCTACATACTACACTACTATACACTACACTATACACAACACAACTATACACTACACTATAGACTACACTACTATACACTACACTACTTTACACTATACATTACACTACTATACACTACACACTACAATACTATACACTACACTACTATATACTACAATACTATACACTACACTATACACTACCGCAGGCATCGCACCTGGCACACGGCGCCGCAGTCCACGATGCCGATGTCGAAGACGATGAACTGGCCATCGTCGAGCGGCGAGCAGCCCGGGAGCGAGCCGTCGTTGAGCGCGAATTCGCTTGCGTTGTGCCTGCCCACCAGCACCTTGGGGATGCGGGCCGACATCCGCTCATCCTGGCACGACAGCTCCAGCTCGGCTGAAATGGGAGAAGAGCAACGGGGTCGTCAGCCGTCATCGGTCGTCGCCTTCATTAGCGTCGCTGTCACGGCCGTCGCCTTCATTAACGTCGCCGTCGTCTTAGCGTCAACATCATTGTCTTCTGATTTAAAGCTTTCGTGACTGCAGTAATTCATATTCTTAGTTTTTTCGGTAAAGTCACGTTGAAGAGAAACAACAAAATAACAAAATATATATAAAACAATAAAAAATTCTCACGACGTTTCGACCATAACTCAAACGGTCATCATCAGGTGTGTCGGTTTGCATAAATTTATTTTTAATTCAGTAGGCTCACATGCCATTGACTTTTCCAAGACGGAGGTTCTTTGTAAGCCATCTGGCTTCCATGAGAGATTCGTTCATGAGGCTATCCACATATACAAGCACAGAGACAATTTCAACCGAGAAGATGGATTCTATCTTAGCAATCATTGGAAAGATTTGATAAATCATTTCAGTTCTTGATTGATTGTTCACGCTTACAGTGGCTTTCAGACAGCATACATAATAAAAAATTTCGTCTCCCCCCTCCTCTTTTCAAAAAAAATAGATGGACTAGTCCTGGGCAAACTGCCAATCGCTGCGCGTGACGCCAACGTTTTTATAAATAAATAAATGTGCCGTTTTTTAAATAAATTTATGCAAACCGACACACCTGATGATGACCGTTTGAGTTATGGTCGAAACGTCGTGAGAATTTTTTATTGTTTTATATATATTTTGTTATTTTGTTGTTTCTCTTCAACGTGACTTTACCGAAAAAACTAAGAATATCATTGTCTTCATTAGCGTCGTCGTCACCGTCGGCGTCTTCGTTAGCGTTGCCCTTTTTGTCGCCTTCCAAAGCGTCGAATACCATTGATATTCTGCCAGTAATTACGAGCATCATCAAGCGACAGCCAGATTTGTGGAGAAATCCTGCTTCGGTCTTAAATGGAGGGATAAATGTGATGTCGTCGCGGGTGAGCCGAACAGGTGCCAAGGCCAGAGGCTCAATTGGATGTTTCTTAAAAGTCAGAGTGCATTCCACAGCGAGGGGGTGACAGCAGAGAAACCGACGTGAGGCTGTGACAGAGATCCTCGGTGTCCGAAGCGGTGTGTGCATGTGTGCCGTGTGTGTGTGTGTGCGCGGACCCACCGGGGTGACATCCCAGCATTCCGTCCTTGAGGAAGCAGACTTCGTTGCCCAAGCACCCACCAAGTTCGTCCGAGATGTTGTACTGCGAGTAGCAGGTGTAGTGGTGCGAGCAGTCCCACGACCACCACTCCTCGCCCACCTGCACCACAGGACAAAAGGACAAAGATCCCCCATGTAGCCTTAACAGACCATTGGGGCAAGTGCTGCTAGCGAGCAGCAGCACCTACGAAGGCCGACACTGTGGCACACGAGTGGGTGGGAGGCCAACACCACGCCCGTCCGCCTTCGTCTCCCCAGTGGCAATGTTTTTACACACCGCTACACCAGGTACTCATTTGAGGCCGAGTCGACCTAGGGTTGGCCCAGGGTCAGTTCAGATTATCGTCACTAGTGTTGATAGCCGTGAGCGGGAATCAAACTCGATGTCGTTGGGTAGTGTCGTGTACACAACCGCTCCTCACAGGACAAGCACACATGCACACAAACCACATTCATTTTGCCCACTATGTTCCACCACCCAGGGTCTAGGACTCGGGATTTAGGAATACAGTATTGACGCGATAAAGGTGAGTGCATTTACAAACCGTTATTTAATACTTTAATGTTCATTTTTATTTACTTTATGTGGATTATAATACATTTTGTTTGTGTTATGATAATTTCCATGTATTTAAAGGTAGTGTAATATTATCCGCGAAATTTGCCCTTCATGAGCATCTCCGGAACATATCCTTCGCGAATAGCGAGGGAATCCAGTATACCTACTCAGCGGTTGGTGGCACTTGCAAAATGATAAATTAGTGGAGGAAGCGTGCCTGTGGGGTTGCGGGAGGGAGCTGAAAGGATAGAAAACGTAATTTGGCATATTTCAGAACTTATTTAGGATCAGAGCAGAGGAGAAGATGCCAGAATAGCAAAGGCCTCAAGGGACAGAGGAATTATGATGTGACACAGATGAAGTAAACTAGGCCTCACGGGATGGTACATTAGGATCTGTGCACAGATGAAGCAGACTAGGCCTCACGGGATGGTCGATTAGGATTTGGGCACAGATGAAGCAGACTAGGCCTCACGGGATGGTAGATTAGGATCTGGGCACAGATGAAGCAGACTAGGCCTCACGGGATGGTAGATTAGGATCTGGGCACAGATGAAGCAGACTAGGCCTCACGGGATGGTAGATTAGGATCTGGGCACAAATGAGGCAGACTAGGCCTCACGGGATTGTAGATTAGGATCTGGGCACAGATGAAGCAGACTAGGCCTCACGAGATGGTAGATTAGGATCTGGGCACAGATGAAGCAGACTAGGCCTCACGGGATGGTAGATTAGGATCTGTGCACAGATGAAGCAGACTAGGCCTCACGGGATGGTCGATTAGGATCCAGGCACAGATGACGCGGACTAGGCCTCACGGGATGGTAGATTAGGATCTGGGCACAGATGAAGCAGTCCAGGCCTCACGGGATGGTAGATTAGGATCTGGGCACAGATGAAGCAGACCAGGCCTCACGGGATGGTAGATTAGGATCTGTGCACAGATGAAGCAGACTAGGCCTCACGGGATGGTAGATTAGGATCTGGGCACAGATGAAGCGGACTAGGTCTCACGGGATGGTAGATTAGGATCTGGGCACAGATGAAGCGGACTAGGCCTCACGGGATGGTAGATTAGGATCTGGGCACAGATGAAGCGGACTAGGCCTCACGGGATGGTAGATTAGGATCTGGGCACAGATGAAGCGGACCAGGCCTCACGGGATGGTAGATGCCGTCCATGGTGCAGCCGCAGTTGGCCGCGTCCACGCAGGCTCCGTCGTGCAGGAAGAAGCCCGGGCTGCACTCGCACGCCTCGACGCATGCCTGCCTCTTTGGGCACGCGGCGTTGGAGAAGCCGCACGCGCTCGGGCACGGCGACGCGCACCCCTTGTACGCGCTGTTTGCCGGGCAGCTCAGCGCTGTCGGGGAGCGGAGGGCGCCGGGGCGGGGTGCGGGTGTAGGTGGGGAGAAGGAGATTGAAGTCGTTGGATGGATCAATCGGTCATTTAGAACTTAAACCAGGAAAGGAGACATTGTATGCGGCTCCCTGGGCGCCACAGTGGCAAGGAGATGTTAAACACCTCGCCTGTTATAGAAACACGCGTTTAGACTATTTAGATTAATTTTGCTTGTATGAATGCCCAAATGACAGGCCACTTTGTTGAGCTATCACTTGTGGCCAGGTCACTGTAGTAAAATAGGTTAATGCCTCAGCGGGGCTTTGTCTGATAGGATGGGGATGGTTTAGTTTTATATGTATGTGTTTGGGTGATTTGTTTACCGTTTTTGAACTCATGCATTTCCGTTATGTTTTCGTATTGTTTGTTGTTGTAACGTTCTTACCCGCCTGACTGGACATCTGTGAAAAAGAGCTTTATAGCTCATCGGATTCCTCCAGCAGTGTAAATAAATATTCTGATTCCGAGGAGGTCGTTGGTTGGATCCAAACCCTGATGCCTGTATATTTTGAGTTTGCATGTCTCTCTCTCCCCGTGGCTGCGTGGACTTTTCTCCGGGTCCTCCGTTTTTTCCCTCTACCTTTAGAAACACGCCATTGAGAGCATTTGCCCCTTTATAAATTTCGACCTGACAATCCATGCTCGACCGCGAGTGATCGCCGCTGCCGACGAAGATGGCGATGATAATATCGGAAGGAAGCAAAAACAAAAAACTCACAGCAACCGAGGGCCTCCCTCCACTCTCCGGGCCGGACTCCGCTGCCGAGGCACGCGTCGAAGTACCCCTGCAGGTGGGAGCAGCGCAGCTCGTCGCTGAGCGCCGTCAGCGCCAGGTCGTAGACGCAGTTGCCGTGGTAGGGGGCCGGCGGGACCGCCTGGAAGCAGGCGGCAAGCGGGGAGGCGGCGCTCTTGAGGGGCGCGCAGAGGAGGGACGCCTTCGCCTTGCTGGGCTCGTCCGGGTCCACGACGCGACCGTAGTCGCTGCCGCAGCTGCCACGGGAAGAGAGAGGGAGAGGCACGGGGGATGTCGTCACCACCTGCCAGCTCCCCGCCACCCCCCCCCCCCCCCCCCCCCCAAATAAATCCGGTGCGAAGTTTCTGCTCGGGACCGAGCGTCGAGGTGGCGTGCTCATCTCTCTCTCTTTCTCGTCTCTCTCTGTCCGATCACAGCACTATGGTGGAGCAGAGTATATACATAGGAAATTTATTTATATATATTAGATATGTGTATATATACATACATAGGTACAGGCAGACCTCGGTTAGCGCTCAAGATGCGTTCCTGGAGAAGGTGTAGGGGTATGTGTTTGGGTAACGGTCATGGGGAAGGGGTATGTGTTCCTGTTAGAATCAAGTGTTAGGGGTATGTGTTCGTTTTGGGGTCAAGCGGCGGAGGCGACTCACGCCGAGTTGTTGCTGGCGACCGGGTACTGCCAGGAGCTGCCGAAGGTGTAGGCGGTGGCGTGCAGCTCCCCGTCGGGCCCCGTAAAGTCGTCGCCTGGGTCGCCGTTGAAGTTGCCGCAGAGGCCGCTGAGGTTGCGCGCGTAGTACGCCTGGAGGCGCAGGTCCACGTAGCTGTAGCCGTCGTACTTGACGGTGAGCCCCGCCGCCGGGAAGGAGAGCACCGCGAACTTGCCGGCCCTCACCACCGTGCCGTTGGGCAGGCCCACGGGGAGGCTCACGCTCTCGTCGTTCACCTGGTCGCACGCGCGAGATGTTAACTCCCTCGCCTGGTACGCAGGAGGTTGTGGGTGTGATCCCGACCCTGACGATGCCTGCTGCTGTGTATTCGGAGTCTGCGTCTCTCTCTCTCTCATCATCATCACGGCGGGTAGGAGATGTTAACTCCCTCGTCTGGTACACAGGAGGTTGTGGGTGTGATCCCGACCCTGACGATGCCTGCTGCTGTGTATTCGGAGTCTGCGTCTCTCTCTCTCCGTGGTGGTGGTGGTCGCGTGGATCTTTCTCCGGGTCGCCCTCCGGGTTTTCCCTCCACGCTCAGAATCGACATGACCACACGTTCGGGGGATTTGGCCGCCGCCGTAAATTCCCGCGTGACGATGGTTTTGACGATAAGCCGCCAGTTTCGTTCAGCTGCGGTCGTTCGTGATAGCCAGGTCGCTTCTGAGATAAGAGCTACACAGGCCAGTGGGGCCTTATCCTGCACACCTTCCATCTCCTGGTATCCTCCATTGATGGTGACCTCCCTCCCATTGGCTGAGATGATCAAGTTTTCCCTTGGTCTTTTCCATCTCCTCACCTTCTTCCATTCTCCCCGACCTGGTCGGTCCCCTGAACATCACACACCCCTCGTCACCTCCATCCCCTGGTCTCATCCACATCCTGGAATCCTCCCCCTCTGGTTGTCCTCTGCCAACTGATTTCCCCCAACCACATTGACCTCCATCTATGTCGGTGGAGGCGAGGCTATGGGCTGGTGGAGCTGCTGATGAAGTTGCTGAAGGTGGAGATGAGGCACTGGGCTGGTGGACCTGCTGACGATGCTGATGATGCTGGAGGTAGAGGCAAGGATATGGGCTTGTGGAGCTGATGAAGATGATGATGCTGTAGGTGGAGGCAAGGCTATGGGCTGTTTGAGCTGATGATGATGATGGTGTTGAAGGTGGAGGCAAGGCTATGGGCTTGTGGAGCTGATGATGATGATGTAGGTGGATGGGAGGCTATCGGCTGAAGGACCTGCACACTGAGGAGGGAGATCCCCTTGTCGTTGATACAGTATGTGCAGTCCCCCTTCTTAAAGAGGGGGACCACCAGGGCATCCTTCCAATCCGGAAGAACCCATCCAGTGGTCCAGACTGTTGTTATGATGTCATACAGGGCAGTCTGCGCACAAATACCACCCTCCCTCAGCATTTCGCTTGGGAGATCATGTCTGCCCGGTGCTTTGCCTGGTCTCAGACTCTGGAGTGCCTTCTGTACTTCGTCATCAGATGGCACCTCAGCCAGCCACTCACAGGGGGTGACTTCTTCCAATATTTGAGGCACTGCAGCCCAAGCAGAGACATCCCCACTTTGTGCCACGATGTTTTCCTGGCTGAGGGATTTTCCCTCCCCCAGGACCTCACAGAAATGCTCAGAAAATCTGCAAACCTGTTCCTGGGGGTTGGAGATCTTTCCGCTAATGATGGTGATAGGTGTGGTGCTGCAAGTTACTTTTTTTGATGGCATTAAAGAGTGATCGCAGGCTACTGAGGCAGACTCAATCTCCTCAGCAACCCGCGACCACCACCCATCCTTGCAGCGCGCATGGCTCTCCGAACCTCCGAGCGAAGGCTGCGGTAAGCCTCCTCATTCTCTGACGTGGGATTCTGTAGCCGAAGACAGTGGGCCTGTCGCTTTTTCTCAACCATCCTGAACACCTCCTCTGTCAGCCAGGGTCTCTGGGGAGGTCTGGACCGCGTACCCAAAGCAGCCATTGCAGCTGCATGAGTCAGAGTCCTAAACCTCGCCCATTTTACCCTCGACAACAGGAGGAGTGGGGAACGATGCCAACCCCAGCCGCAAGCGACGATGAAATTGTCGCTGCCAACTTTCATCGGCTCGTTGAGATCAGGCCACCGTGGGTTTTGATCGGGGTCCCGGATGTACACCAAAAGAATGGCAGGCGCCTCTCACAGGTGAAGTTCAACAAACGCACACGCACACACACACGCGTACACGCATCGCCGACCGACAACGCCCGTGCCCGACGTTTTCCCTACCTGCCTCCCGTTTCTGCTACCCTACCGTGGTCCCCCCCCCACACCCCCTCCCCCCCCCACCCCAACTCTCAACTCACCAGGACGGCGCCGCCGAACAGCAGCTTGACGTTGACGTCGTGGTCGAGCCGCACCTCCACGGTTCGCGTGTACGCCACGGCCGCGTTTCCGTACCGGTGCTCGTTCTGCACCAGCACGTGCCACGCCGCCGGGCGAGAGCCCGCGTAGCTGGGGCTCGGCGCCGCCAGCGTGTAGGTGCACGTGCCCATGAAGTCGAAGTACTTGCCGTCGAAGGTGGTGTAGTGCGGGTCACCAGACGCGTGGCAGTGACCTTGGGTGGGGGGGGGGGGGCGGTGGCGGTGGAGAGGACGATGGGTCGGGGTGGGAAGGTCAGCGCTACGCCGCGCTACGAGCCCGACGGGCCGAGTTTGATTCCCGCTCGCGGTCATCACCGGCGACGATAATCTGAACCGGTACCTGGGCCTCCCCTTGGTCGACTCAGCCAGAAACTAGGACTTAGTGCGATGTGTAAAAGCATTGGCACTGGGTGAGACAAAGGCGGCCCTTGCGGGGTGTTGGTCACCCACCCCCTTGTGTGCTGGCTAGCAGCACTTGCCCCAACAGTCTATTAAGGCTAGACGGGTGATCTTTGTCTTCTTGGTAGTAGTGGTGGTGGTAGTGGTGGTAGTGGTGGTGGTGGTTATAACAGGTTGGTTGTTGTAGCGATAGTGGTGATATCGGTGGTAGCGGTGGTAGTGGTGGTGGTAGCAGTGGTGGTGGTAGCAGTGGTGGTTGTAGCGGTAGTGGTGGTAGCGGTGGTGGTGGTAGCGGTGGTGGTGGAAGCGGTGGTGGTGGTAGCGGTGGTGGTTGGAGCGGTAGTGGTGGTAGCGGTGGTGGTGGTAGCGGTGGTGGTTGTAGCGGTGGTGGTGGTGGTAGCGGTGGTGGTGGTAGCGGTGGTGATTGTAGCGGTAGTGGTGGTAGCGGTAGTGGTGGTAGCAGTGGTGGTTGTAACGGTGGTGGTTGTAACAGTGGTGGTGGTAGCAGTGGTGGTGGTAGCGGTGGTGGTTGTAACAGTAGTGGTGATAGCGGTGGTGGTGGTAGCGGTGGTGGTTGTAACGGTGATGGTAGTAGCGGTGGTGGTGGTAGCGGTGGTGGTAGCGGTGGTGGTTGTAACGGTGGTGGTTGTAGCGGTGGTGGTGGTAGCGGTGGTGGTGGTAGCGGTGGTGGTGGTAGCGGTGGTGGTTGTAGCGGTGGTGGTGGTAGCAGTGGTGGTGGTAGCGGTGGTGGTTGTAGCGGTGGTGGTGGTAGCGGTGGTGGTGGTAGCGGTGGTGGTGGTAGCGGTGGTGGTTGTAGCGGTGGTGGTGGTAGCAGTGGTGGTGGTAGCGGTGATGGTGGTAGCGGTGGTGGTTGTAGCGGTGGTGGTAGCGGTAGCGGTGGTGGTGGTAGTGGTGGTGGTAAGAGGAGAATGGGGAGCGGCGGTGTAGCAGTTTACGACCCGAGTTCGATTCCCGCTCACGACGAGATGTTAACCACCTTGCCTGGTGTGCCTAGGGGAGGCCCAGGACCGGTTTAGATGGGGCGCCACGGTGGCTATGAGATGTTAACTCCCTCGCCTGGTGTGCAGGAGGTCGTGGGTTCGAACGCAGACGCTGATGATGCCTGCTGCTGTATATTTGGAGTCTGCGTCTCTCTCATCATCATCACGGTGGCAAGGAGATGTTAACTACCTCGCCTGGTCTACAGGAGGTCATCATGAGTTGGCATCATCACCACCATCATCATCATCGTCATCATCTTCATCATCGTCGTCATCACTATCATGATCGTCGTCGTCATCACCACCATCGTCATCATCGTCATTATTATCATAATCGTCATCATTTTCACCATTGACGTCATCATCGTCGTCATCATCGTCGTCACCATCATCATCATCACTATCATCGTCATCATCGTCGTCGTCATCACCATCATCATCGTCATCGTCATCATCGTCGTCATCATCATCGTCATCATCATTCTCATCATCATCGTCATCATCATTCTCATCATCGTCGTCATCGTTATCATCGTCATCATCATCGTCATCATCGTCATCATCATTCTCATTATCATCGTCATCATCGTCGTCATCATCGTCATCATCATTCTCATCATCATCGTTATCGTCATCATCATCGTCATCATCGTCGTCGTCATCATCGTCATTCTCATCAATCATCGTCATCATCGTCGTCATCATCATCGTCGTCATCATCGTCATCATCATCGTCATTCTCATCATCATCGTCATCGTCATCATCGTCGTCATCATCATCGTCGTCATCATCGTCATCATCTCACCCTCGATGGCGTCGCAGCCGGCCCTGCCCCCCTCCAGCACGGCGCAGAAGTGGAACTCGGGGCAGGCGAATGCCTGGCAGTCGATGCCCCCCGCGTCGCACAGGCACGAGCTAGTGCAGTCGTCCGAGATGAACGACTCCCCCACCTGCCACCGAGGGAGGACACGTGGGCGGGCACCGGTGAAGCGATGGGGGGGCAGGGAGGGGGGGGCAGGGGGGGGGCCCACATCGGCCGACCAACTCCATCTGTCAATTTCCACAGGATGACGACGATGAGGACGTCAGCCACAATGGTGTATATAAATAAATAAAAAAATAAAAAATCACGACGTTTCGGGGCGCTTGGGTTGAAGCCCGAAACGTCGCGATTCATGTTATGCTTCTACCCCCGTGGCTTCACCGAAAGAACGAAAGAGAATGGATCCCTGCAGTCACGAAAGCTTCAAATCGAGATTGAATGACTGGCGAAACGTTCTGGCGTGGCCCTCCAACACACCATTGCTGTGCTGTGCCAGCGACGGATTGGCCACGTTCTGTTCACGTGACAACCCTCACCAATTGGCTGCGTCGGGTGGTGGCGGGTTCTAACGACACAATAACGGAACATCCTCCTGTGTCTGAGTCAACGTGTGCCAGGTGACGTCACGGTCACAACAACAACAACCACCAGCAGTAGGCAGTGCATCACCTTGTGGTAGTTCAGGCTGCAGTGTCTGAGTCAACGTGTGCCAGGTGACGTCACGGTTACAACAAGAACCAGCAGTAGGCAGTGCATCACCTTGTGGTAGGTCAGGCTGCAGCGTCTGAGTCAACGTGTGCCAGGTGACGTCACGGTTACAAGAACAACAAGAACCAGCAGTAGGCAGTGCATCACCTTGTGGTAGGTCAGGCTGCAGCGTCTGAGTCAACGTGTGCCAGGTGACGTCACGGTTACAACAACAAGAACCAGCAGTAGGCAGTGCATCACCTTGTGGTAGGTCAGGCTGCAGCGTCTGAGTCAACGTGTGCCAGGTGACGTCACGGTTACAACAACAAGAACCAGCAGTAGGCAGTGCATCACCTTGTAGTACTTGTTCTTGTAGAGGCAGCCGCACTGGTCGGCCAGCACGCAGGCGTCGTCCTCCAGGACGTAGCCGATGTCACAGACACAGCCCTCAACGCAGTCTCCCTGGCACTGCCCCTCGACGGCTCCGTCCACGCACGACACAGGGCACAGCGGAGCGCAGTACGAGTAGTGGCTGTTGGCGGGGCACTGCGGGACGGCTGTGGGTGGCAGAGGAGTGGTTGGGTGAGTTGAGCGGGTGAGTGGGTGGGTGAGTGGTTGGGTGAGTTGAGTGGGTGAGTGAGTGATTGAGTGAGTGGGTGGGTGGGTGGGCGAGTGGGTGGGTGAGTGAGTGAGTGGGTGAGTGGATGGATGGGTGGGTGAGTGGGTGGGTGAGTGAGTGGGTGGGTGGGTGAGTGAGTGATCGAGAGAGGGAGTGGGTGAGTGAGTGGGTGGGTGGGTGAGTGAGTGAGTGGGTGGGTGGGTGGGTGAGTGAGTGGGTGGGTGGGTGGGTGAGTGGGTGGTTGGGTGGGTGGGTGAGTGGGTGGGTAGGTGAGTGGGTGGGTGGGTGAGTGAGTGGGTGGATGGGTGAGTGGGTTAATGTGTGAGTGAGTGGGTGAATGGGTGAGTGAGTGGGTGAGCGAGTGGGTGGGTGAGTGGGTGGGTCAATGTGTGAGTGAGTGGGTGGATTCGTGGGTGAATCAATGGGTGAGTGAGTGGGTGGATGCGTGGGTGAGTGAGTGGGTGGGTGAGTGAGTGGGTCAGTGGGTGGATGAATGAGAGAAAGCAGATGAAGACGCGAGCAGAGGTGTGATTGGGTGAGTGAGCGGGTGAGTGAGTGGGTGGGTGAGTGAGTGGGTCAATGGGTGGATGAATGAGAGAAAGCAGATGAAGACTCGCGCAGAGGTGGAGCAGTGCAGCTTCAACAGGCTATTGGTGAGTGACTGAGTGTGTGAAAGAGTGAGCGAGTGGGTGACTGGGTGGGTGGGTGAATGGCTGAGTGGTTGGGTGGGTGAGTGGGTCGGTGGGTGAATGAGAGAAAGCAGATGAAGACGCGTTCAGAGGTGTCATGCATGCATCCTCAAAAGGCTGTTGGTGAGTGACTGAGTGGGTGAATGAGTAAGCGAGTGAATGGCTGACTGAGATAAAAAAATCAGCACAAATATTTCGCTTCTACGCCCTCCGTTATTGGAGGGCGACTGCCTCCAATTGCCCAGTAGCATCCTTCATGACCCTCCTGCTACCTCCTGCTACCGGTCATCGGCAAGTAGACCCAGCTGCACATCCTCCTGCACCGCATCAGCCCATCTCTTCTCTAGCCCGTGGCAAACAGAATCTGCTTGGGCATGCAGTGGCCGGGCATGCAGACTACATGACCCAGGTAACGCAGCCTCGCCTGCTGGAGGAGCTCACTGAGTCACTGTATCCGTATATTTTAAGGATCTGTGAGCCCCTCACACAATCGAGTCTGGATAATCCCAGGATGTATGTGTGTGTTGAACTTATTTTGCACCGTACATAGCCAACCGTGCTAAGCCAGCCTAAATATTTCCAACCGGTACAGATGTTCCTTTAAAGGGGTCCAGGCTTTGCAAGCATACAGTAGATAAGGGATGGTGTAACTGTGTCCAAGAAGACCCGCAACTTCGTATGGAGCAACAGGCAGGTAGCTTCCACACAGCGATACATTGCTTTTAACGAAATAAAGGCACTCATCTGATTCGGAGTGAGACCTCTGCTGTGAAAGGTCCTGGCAAGCAGACGTAAAAAAACGCCTCTAGATGGGGGATTTTTAGAGTTTCCTTTAGTTCAGTCCCTTCTCTTCGCAGCGGCATGAGCCAGCCATTTCGCTACTCTTTGGACGATGTGCATTTGTGATGCATTTTTATCACGCAAAAACTTCACACCACTGGCTCAGGTGAGCATCGACGGGAGAGCAGTCATTTTAACACGTAGGCTTTTTTAGACCAATATTAATAGAGGTCTTGGGTTCGATAACGTAAATATAAATGTATCGTTAAACCAGCCACCACCCGATGGTTCGTTACTAGGACAGCACACTGGTGTGCTGGAGAGCAAACCCACAACATTTACAATTAACGTACGATGTTTTGCCGGCAATTACAATGACCAACATCATCAGGCGACAGCCGGATTTGTGGGAGAAATCCCCCCTTCTGTTTCGGTCGTAAATATTTTGGAGAGCCGAGATGTCCGTTCCGACACTCACGGCAGAGGGCTGGACTCCGCCACGCTTGAACGGGAGCCTCAGCCTTGACGCAGGCCGCGAAGTAGGCTTCCAGGGCCTTGCAGAGGACGTCGTCGGTAAAGTTCAGCAGCACCATGTCGAAGACGCAGTTGTCAATGTAGGGCATGGGGTCGACGAGCGCCAGGCATGAGCCGAAGACGCCCGCAACGTCATTGAGGATCCCGCACGAGTCGTTCTGCTGGGCCTGCTTGACGGCATTGGCGTCAAGATCCACAGCTCTGCCGGTGTCGTCGAAACCTCTGCATGGCCCCAAAAGCCACCGGGAGGGAGAGAAAAATAAATAAGTGAAAGGGCTGTCACCGGCGAAAACGCCGTAACGCAACGCGACAATTTATCACCGTGGCCACCTCACGCTCCATGGTGGCGAAGGGCAATGGGAGCGCCTCTGCAGTCCAATTTCAGGCCTAGTGCAGGCTTTTGCAACGTTTTGGATTTGGCTTAACGTTGGCTTGACCTAATGCGGGCTCTGCATTGTCTAAAGTCTAATGCATTTGGTAATAGACATAGCCAGTACAGACTGCGATTTTTCTCAGGCCTATAATAGGCTCTGCACTGTCTTAGGCCTAATGCTGATTCTTTTTGGCCTAGCACAGGCTGTGTGTAGTCGTAAGCCTAAATAATTTGGTGCTGAACCTATTGCAGGTTCCCACTTTACTTCAGGTGCAATGCATCCTGGGCTAAAGATTTTGACATTTGGTCTGGCATTGTCATAGGTTTCACACATTTGGCATTCGGCCTAATATAGGCTCCCCATTGCCTTCAGGGCAATGCGTTCATAAGTTGGCTGAGTGCAAGTTATTGTTCCAGGTAGCAGTTGCCAACCCTGAGAACACAAAAAAGATGGGATATATCACGGAAAACAGAAGAATATCTCACAATGCCGGACAAGGGAAGTACTCCACGTGAATTCACGGTCTTGAGTGGTGCATGATCACGCAACTGATAAGAAAAAAGTTGACTTTTTATGCCAGGTTGGAAAGATCTGCAGGTGTCCAATGATGGCCACCTCAAAAACATAAGACGATCCTGAGGGGAGGTGGGGGGGGGGCGGTGGGGCGGGGAACGGGGGGAAAAGGACAGCTTGGCAACGCTATTCCCAGGCCTAGTGCATTCAACATCGGGCCCAACGCAGGCATGCGGCAAATGCCGAGGCCACGCGAAGTGTGGCATTATCCGAGCCGGGGCAAGCGAGGCTTATCGTTCGGGTAGCTCACGTGTCGACGATGCCCGGCTCCTCCACCTTCCAGCTGTTGCCGAAGTCGGTGGCGCTGGGCGTCTGCGAGCCGTCCCGGCGCGTGAAGTCGTCGGCGGGGAAGCCGTCCATGTTGCCGCAGAGGCCGCAGAGCGACGCCACGAAGGTGGTGGGCAGCTTGACGCTCGCGCGGTATATTCCGTCGTAGAGGGCCTCGAGGCCGAAGTCGGCCGACACGCGCATGTAGTGGCCGGAGCGAGTCACCGAAAACTCCTGGCCGCTGCTGTTGTAGTAGAATGGCAGGTTCAGGCTCACGCCGTTCAGCTGCAAGGGGAGAGGTAAGGCGGAGCGAGGATGGGCGACGGGTGTCGGCGGGGGGCTCTCTGTCGGACCACGGCCGTCGTTCACTCGTCGGGGGGGGGGGGGGCGGGGGGGGGTTTCCGCCGCTCGAGTGGACGACGGCGTGGCGCACCGTTTGCAAGTTTGTTGGCAGCGCTAAGCCAATTGCGTAAATTCCGCCTGCCCATGACGGGACGAAAATAGTTCACGCAGAGCAAAAAAAACGGTGGGCCCCACACGCGCAGTGGTGGCGCCACGTTTTAATTCAACCGCGTCGGAATGACGCCAATGCGACGATCTGAACCCCGACTGAGGTTCAAGCCCGCAGTTGTAACTGATTGAGAGCTGGGCGCTCTTTGACTATGAACATACACATCACGCTCACTGTTAAAATGCCACGCATGGGAGAGTTAGTTAAATTCTTGGGGAGGCATCGCACAGCAGGCAATGTTGGGGGGGGGGGGGTGGGGTTGGGGTTGGTGTGGTGAGACACGGAGAGGAAACCCACAAACGGGGAGACACAGAAAGAGAGGCGGATAAGGTGACAAGTAGGAGGCAGAACACCAGGAGGAGACACAGGGGGGAAAAAGCATAGGGACAAGAAAGCGACATGAATGACAGACTGGGCAGAATATAATCTCCACAAAGGGATGAATAGAACAGAGAGCAGCAGGAGATATGGTGGAGGAGGCATCGAGGAGGAGGAGGGGGAGGAGAAAGACGAGATGCAGTGGGGGAGACATAGAAAAGGAGGAAACATGGAGGAGCAGAAAGAGACATGGTGGAGGAGACATCGAGGAGGAGACAAGGAGGAGTGGATGGATACATGGTGGAGGAGACACAGAGCAGGAGGAGACAACGAGGAAGAGAACGCGATTCATTGGGGGGAGAGACGGAGGAGACATTGATGAACAGACAAAGACACAGAGGGGATCACTTGGAGATTGAAGAGACCCTGAGGAGCAAACGAGGACACGGGGGATTAGAGATTGAGGAGACAATGAGGAGCAGATGGAGACACGACACAGTGGGCGAGACATCGACGAGGAGACACGGCAGGAGCAGAAGGGGCGTGCGGAGTCAGAGCGACGTGCGGCACTCACAAAGACTTTGGAGCCGGCCGCGAGCGTCACCCGGTACCCGTAGATGTCGACGATGACCTCACGCGTGTAAGCCACCTCCCAGTTGCCCGGACGGTTCTCGTTCTTCACCTTCACGCTCCAGTCGGCGCCCGAGCACGGCTGCAAAGGCAAACGTCCCCCCGCGTGGCCTTCAGCAGACTGTTGGGGCAAGCGCTGTTGTCGTGTTGTTTGCCGCGAGCGGGAATCGAACCTCGGGTGGTAGACACGGTTCGTCGTGCGGCGCGCCAACCGCCGAGCTACCGCTCCTCAAAACACACGCGAAAAACACTGACAAAGATCCCCCCGTGTAGCCTTAACAGACGCTGTTAGCGAAGTAGCAGCACCTATGAAGGCCGGAATGGTACACGTGGGGGTGGTTGGCCAGCCCCACGCCTGATGCGCCTTTGTCTCCCCAGAGGCGTATTTTACTACACACCGCTACGCCACGTCATTTTAAGCTGAGTCAACCTAGGTGAGGCCCAGAACCGATGCACATAATTGTCACTGGTGTTGGCCGTGAGCGGGGATCGAACTTGGGACTGCCGGGATTGTAGCGCAGCGCGCTAACCGCTATGCTGCCGCTCCCATACGTACATACAGGAAGTCCTCATGTAATACGCTAGTCGTAGCGGTAGTAGATGCGTTCCTAAAAAGTTCCGCATGAAGCGAAAACAATTCCCCATAAGTAACATGACGATAAAGTTTGGCGAGATACGATGTACCACTAAGCACGCCGTGCGGTGAGATGGCGGGACTAATAACTGTTGGCACGCTGCCGCATTACTGTATAATTCCACACACTGCATCACTACGCATACTGTATCATTCCGCGTACTGTACTATTCTGCGTTACTGTATGACTCTGTGTTAAAGTAATCGCTCGGCGTTGCTGTATAATTTGACGTCACTGTATTATGATTTCCGCGTACCGCATCACCGTACCGCTCAGTCGCACAGCTCATGAAACTAGTTGGTCGTCCGTCGACCGCTCAGAAACTCCGTTGCAACGGAGCGGCGCGTTCGGCGTTGCAACTGGGCGGTCCTTAACGCGTCATAATGGAGCGCGCGCGTTCCGTGACGTAAGCCTTGCCCGACCGAAGAAGAACCCACGTTGCATTGCGAAGAAGCATGGCGCGGGTGTGGGAACCCGCCGCCACGCGTTAAAAGCGGGGGGGACTTACCGGTGGCCGAGGGGAGTGGTTAGGACGGGAGTTAAGTCCACTGCTCCGCGCGGCTTATACTGACGGCAGGTTTTCGCTGGGCGCGTGGAGGTTACTTTGTTCGGAAGCTTTTGTGAGGTCCACTTGCCCCCCACCGTAAAAAACCCCCCCACCCTCACGTTCCCGCTGCTCGCTGTCTCTACGTGTGCGGGGCAGCGAGGCGCCAATCTCCTCCCCTTTCCCAGAGGCCCCCCCCCCCCCAGGGAGCACCGGGTTGGGACTTCGGGTCGTCCCGCGGATATTTTCCGTCACCCCATCCTTCCCCTCCCTCGTTACGCTTCGTAAGCCTTTTTTTTTTTTACCGGGCCTTTTGCAAAGTAGAAAATATGAAGGCGAGGGACTTTACAGTAGACACGTTCATTTCACGCACACCCTTCGGGTGGGGACGCGCAGGCCACCGGGTGTCTCACCTGCGTGAGCACGTACGTGTACGTGCCCTGGAAGTTGAACTTGCGTCCGTCGAACGTCGTGTAGTGGGGGTCGCCCCACGCGGTGCACTCCACTGGCGAGACACGACGGGGAGCTCATGGTCATCGACGGGGATACGGACGGGGACTCCTCTACTTACGAACATTTTACTTACGGACTTTCAGAGATACGAACAGACCCGTCCGTAATGCATCTTGGGGTGACTATGGCTGTAGTTACTCACGCAACTTGGGGTGACTATGGCTGTGTAGATACTCACGCAACTCGGGGTGACTATGGCTGTGTAGATACTCACGCAACTTGGGGTGACTATGGCTGCAGATACTCACCTAACTTGGGGTGACTATGGCTGTAGTTACTCACGTAACTTGGGGTGACTATGGCTGTGTAGATACTCACGCAACTTGGGGTGACTATGGCTGTGTAGATACTCACGCAACTTGGGGTGACTATGGCTGCAGATACTCACCTAACTTGGGGTGACTATGGCTGTAGTTACTCACGTAACTTGGGGTGACTATGGCTGTGTAGATACTCACGCAACTTGGCGTGACTATAGCTGTGTAGATACTCACGCAACTTGGGGTGACTATGGCTGTGTAGATACTCACGCAGCTTGGGGTGACTATGGCTGTTGGTACTCATGTAATGTGGGGTAACAATGGCTGTAGGTACTCATGCAACTTGGGGTGACAATAGTTGTAGTTACTCACATAACTTGGGGTGACTATGGCTATAGTTATTCACGTAACTTGGGGTGACTATGGCTGTAGGTACTCATGCAACTTGGGGTGACTATGGCTATAGTTACTCACGTAACTTGGGGTGACTATGGCTGTAGTTACTCACGTAACTTGGGGTGACTATGGCTGTAGTTACTCACATAACCTGGGGTAACTATGGCTGTAGTTACTCACGTAACTTGGGGTGACTATGGCTGTAGTTACTCACATAACCTGGGGTGACTATGGCTGTAGGTACTTACATAACCTGGGGTGACTATGGCTGTAGGTACTTACATAACCTGGGGCGACTATGGCCGTGTAGATACTCACGCAACTTGGGGTGACTATAGCTGTGTAGTTATTCACGTAACTTGGGGTGACTTTGGCTGTAGTTACTCTCGTAACTTGGGGTGACTATGGCTGTACTTACTCACGTTACTTGGGGTGACTATGGCTGTAGTTACTCACGTAACTTGGGTGACTATGGTTGTAGTTATTCATGTAACTTGGGGGTGACTATGGCTGTAGTTATTCTCGTAACGTGGGGTGACTATGCCTATAGTTATTCACGCAACTTGGGGTGATTATGGCTGTAGTTACTCACGTAACTTGGGGTGACTTTGGTTGTAGTTATTCACGTAACTTGGGGTGACTATGCCTGTAGTTACTCACGTAACTTGGGTGACTATGGCTGTATTTATTTCCTTAGCTTGGGGTGATTATGGCTGTAGTCACTGACGTATCTCGTAATTACCATGGCCATCGGTGACCCCGTGTGTATGCTGCGGGCTGACCGCGGCTGCAGTGACTCACAGATACTGGGCTGGCAGCCGTAGTCCCCCTGGGGCCCGGCGCCGCAGTAGTTCAGCGTCAGGTCACAAGGGTTCTTCTGGCACTGGATGTTGCCGAGGACACGCACGTGCACTGAGCGGAGCAGTCCTTCTTCCAGAAGATCTCCTTCACCTGATGGCCACACGAAGATCGGACGTATGTGTGAGTGGGGTGGAGCGGTGGTGTAGCGGTGAGCGCTACGCTGCGCTACGAACCTGGCCAGCCGAGTTGGATTCCCGTTCACGGCCAACACCGTTGGCGATCATCTGAACCGGTCCTGGGCCTCCCCTAGGTTGACTGAGCCTCATATGACTACATGGTGCGGTGTCTAAAACATCACCACTCGGGAGACAAAGGCGGCCGGGCGTGGTGTTGGCCACCCACCACCCCCTGGTGTGCCGTGCCGGCCCTCAAAGGTGCTCGCTAACAGCACTTGCTCCAACATTCTGTTAAGGCTACACGGGGGATCTTTTTTTTGCGTGTTGAACTTCTTTTGCACCGTTCGTAGCCAACCGTGCTAATTGGAGGTGCGGGGGTAGAACAACAAACTAAACACAACAACAAAAAGAAGTTCTAAATAAATTAGTTTGCAATGTTGTTTAGTGGTGTAGTGTATAATGTAATGTATAGTAGTGTAGTGTATAGTAGTGTAGTGTGAAGTAGTGTAGTGTGTCGTAGTGTATAGTGTAGTATATAGTGTAGCGTATAGCAGCGTGTATGTTTAACTTATTTCGCACCGTATATAGCCAACCGTGCTAATCGGGGGTGCGGTGTTAATCGGAGAATCGTGCATCATTGACATGTTTGACAATGTCACGATTGCCCCTTGCCATCTTCAAGACTATCCATTGATTCGTCCCTGCCTTACCTCTCCCTCTCATATCACTCTACTCCCCTCCACACACACACACTCTCCCACCGCTCCTCTATCACCTCACTCTACTTCCTTCCACACACACACACACACACTCTCCTACCTCCCCCTCTCATCTCACTCTACTTCCCTCCACACACACACACTCCTACCTCTCCTCTATCATCTCACTCTACCCTCCTCCACACACACACACTCTCCTACCTCGCCCTCTCATCTCACTCTACTCCCCTTCACACACACACACACTCTCCTACCTCTCCTCTATCATCTCACTCTACCCTCCTCCTCCACACACACTCTGCTTCAGAAACCAAGGCGTTTTGCTTAGTGGGAGGTCGCTCATTCTCCACTGCTGTCCCCCATCACTTGGAATTCCTTCCATCCAGCTTGCCGTGCTGCCGACTCCCTGCCCCGGTTCAAGTCCAAGATCAAGATCTTCCCAATTTTCTCTCTCTCTACAACAACAGGTCTCTTGCTTTCTCGACAGCGTCTTCATGAGTGATGAGATGGCAACCCGAGGCGGCAGGAGCTCGCCGCGCTCGCTCACCTTGTAGTACTTGCCGTCGCCGTCCTTGCAGCCGCACAGCGCCGGGGCGACGCACTCGTCCCCGTCCCACACGTGGGCCGGGTCAAGGCACTCGCAGGTCTCGCCGCACGCGTCGGCGCAGTCCGCCGGGGCGCCGGGGTCGTAGCACGTGGCCGGGCACGCGTTGCCGCAGTCCTTGAAGGCCGCGCTCGCTCCGCAGTCGATCTCTGTGGCGGTCGGTGACGGGGGTTGGTGGGTGCGGGGGGCGAGAGTCAGGGAAAGACGCGCTCACAGAGGGGCAGGTGGAACGGAGTGTGGGCGAGTGCCGCTAGGATGTGCTGTGTGTGCGATGGGTGGATATTTTAGTTGGCGCAGCAGGGGGCACAGGTGGTGCATCGGCCAGTCGTCTCAGTCAGTCGACCCATGGCATCTGCTGGGTCTGCCCCGTGACCTCCTGCCAGCGGGTGTTCGACACTTCACGTGGCCTCAACGTGCACTTAGCCTGGCACAGGCGCCGTGGTGACGTCACCATCACTTAGTGGCGAATAGCGGGTATTGGTGCTATGCGTGTGTTGTCTGTGTGAGAGACACTCTGCCTATAGTAAGGTGGCGCTAAGAGGCCTACGTGGAGTATAAAGACTGTCTGTCTATTCCTGGTTGCTCACACACGTCGTTGGTCTATTGAGCTGCAGTGACCAGCAGCAGGGGTCTTCCGCAGGGAGGCGCCAATCTGCACTTCAATCTGGGCATGGTGGCTGACGACATCACTTCCTGTTAGTACCAAGGCCCGAAAAGGCCTTTAACCCCCACGTAGGCCTCTTAACCCCACCCTACCCTTCAATATTTACTCTTGAATAATGAACCAAGCCAAAAACTATCCTACACTCAATCTTGATTTGAAGCTTTCGTGACTGAAGGAATTCATACTCTTTGGTTGTTTCGGTAAAGTCGGTGGTGGTGTACCGCAATGCATCGTCACATTTCCCCAAATCGCTTGCCACCATCCCCCCCCCACGACCCCCCGCCAATCGCCGGGGTAACCCAACCCCAGCACCTACCCAGGGCCAGATTATTTAGGCCTAAGCCAAGTAAGCTGCAGCTTAAGGGCCTCAGAACGTGGCTTGCCGTCGAACAAAGATGTTCACGAAGTGGCAGCCAAATACTCTTAAACGAATGGAATTTTAAATCTGGGGGACCCAGAGAAAAAATCCACACGACCACGTGGAGAGAAACATGCAAAACTTCAAATAAACAGCGGGCGTCAGGGCCAGGATCGAACCAACAACCTCCTGTATACCAGGCAAGCAAGTTAACATCTCCTCGCCACCATGACACCCATAACCCCCCCTCCCCCTCCCCCGCCACTTCCTTCCCGGGGCACCTACCGCACTTGGTGGCGTTCCTCCAGTTTGCCGCGAAGGCGACGCCCTCATCGTTGCAGGCCCTCACGTAGCCCTGCACCGCCTGGCACAGGACGGCAACGTCCAGCTTGGCGAGCACGAGGTCGTAGACGCAGTCGGCGTAGTGCGGCGCCGGATCCACGGCGCCGAAGCACGGGGCCAGGGGGCTCGCCGGGTCCTTCAGGAGGCCGCAGTTGTCGCCGAAGCCCGCCTTGATGTTGAGGAAGTAGTCCAGGGAGACGTTGGCCGAGACGCCCGTGTCGCTGCTCCCGCTGAAAGGGGCGAAAGGCGCCGTGAGGTGAGGTGCGCGAGGCGGGGCGTGGCGCGTCGGCGGGGAACGCTCCACCGCCGCCGCCGCCGCCGCGTCGGCTTTTCGCCGCTTTTTACTCTCCGCGACGATGGTAACGAGAACAAGCTGGACGGGAGACTCGCGCGCACGTCATTTTTGTTTTTTTGACGCCAAAGTTCGACGGGGGGGCGGGGAAACTCTCGCCCCCCGCACCTCTCGCTGACGGCCTTCTCCTGCAGCTCCCAGCTGTTGCCGAACTCGGCGGCGCTCGCCGCCAGCGTGCCGTTGGGGGTCATGAAGTCGTCGCTGGGGTCGTTGTTCCAGAGGCCGCAGAGGCCGCACGTGGCCGCGGCGTAGACGTCCTTGTTGAGGAGGTGGACGCGCACGCGGCTCATCCCTGCACGCGGCAGTGCCGAAGAGAATCGGTGGGGGGTGGGGGTGGTTTGTGAGCTGCCACTCGTCTGATCGTGATACACAGATTCACCAATTTTTGCCAAGGATAATACAATGCTAGCGAATTAGGGGCGGGGTTTGGGGTTAAGAGGCCTTATTTGTTGTTCTGGTGCGAGCAGGAAGTGATGTCATCAGCGGCCATGCATGTGTGTATGTACGTTGGACTTATTTTGCACCGTACGTAGAAATGAGATTTCAATCTAGATGACTTAAAAGTGCATAGCTCCTATGGCTTCCTAATATCGGAAGGAAGAGCGTTCCGGACACCCGCAGAAGCGCATCCACGACCAGGTTGAGGAGCAAATTGGTGCCCTCTGATAGAGCCCCCCCCTGCTGCTGGTGACTGCAGCTCAAGAGACCGACCACGTGTGTGACAAACGACAGACTAAACAGGCTTCATACCCCACGTAGGCCCCTTAGCCCCACCCTACGATAGGCAGTGCCTCTCACAGGGTAATGCACACACACACGCATTTTTGAACTCCACTTAGCCCTGCAAGCCAGAGTAAAGAATTAAATGTCACGTTTGCAACAACAACAATAACAACAAAAAAACGCCTATCCAGAGAGGTGACTGTGATGCAGGGCATGTCGAGTCGCTCAGAGGCTCTTCGGCAAGCGCCGCTGCGTAAAGGGCCGGGGCCAGAAAAAAACGAACCTCGCTGAATCCCTCACCGTTGTACTCGACTTTCAAGAAGGCGCCGGTGTTGAGCTCGAAGTACTCGCCGGACTTGGTGATGCGGAAAAGCTCAGCGGGGTGGTAGTACGGCACGTTCACGGCCACGCCGTCAAGCTGTGGAAGCGAAGGGTGGGGAGGGGGGGGGGTAAGCACACACACACCGCGACCGCGTGAACATCGCCGCTGTGGAGACAAAGGCGGTCGGGCGTGGCCCTGGCCACCCGCCTCCATGCGTGTGCCGCAGTGCCGGCCTTAGTATGTGCTGCTACTCGCTAACGGCACTTGTCCCAACAGCCCGGTCAGGCTACATGGGGGGACCTTTCGTCTTTGTCCCTGTGCACGCACGCGCAGGTGACATGGGTTGACTGAGATAACTGGCTGAGGCACGACCTATGGCTTCCTACTGTGCAACTCACTCACTCACTCACCCACTGACACACAAACCCAGGTGCGATGGATTAATGAATTTGCCAGGCTGGATGACAGGAGGTCACGGGACAGACCCAGCAGGTGCCATGGGTTGATTGAGGTGATGACTGACAGATACACTACCTGTGCCCCTTACTGTGCCAACTCGCTACGTTTTATCTGCCCGGCGCTCCGCTCATTGTTGTGAGCGTCGCTGCCCGGCCCTCCGTCGTTGCTGGAGGGCGACTGCCTCCAACTTGCCCGGTCGAAGCATCCTTTCGCGAGCCTCCTCTCTCAAACACTCGCTCCCACGCGCACGCACGCACGCACACACACGCACGCGACGCGCTTACCCGGACTTTGTTGTCGCGGATGAAGGAGACGGTGTGGTTGTAGATCTCGGTGTGCACCTCGCGCGTCCACGACACGTCGGCGCGCCGCCGGTGCTCGTTCTTCACCAGGACGCGCCACGGCACCGGCAGGTTGGAGACGCAGTTGGAGGCGAGGACGACGGTGCGCGTGCCCATGAAGTTGAAGTGGTTGCCGTCGAAGGAGCGGTAGTGGGGGTCGCCCACGCCGTGGCACCAGGCTGCGGGCGGGCGATGGACGGGGTGCGGTTACGGGAGGGGTTTCAGAGTTTTAGAAATCGCTCCGGCCGGTGGGGGTGGCGGCGTCGCGTGGTTAATCTGTTCGCACGGCGATGACGGGCTCACGCTGAGTTGCAATTTAAAACGGGGAGAAGTCACGCGATCTTTTTCCTCATGCCTACGAAGGCGCCTCGACACATTAGTGGATGGCGCCTTGCAAACGGCCGTAAATTATGATCACTGCCATACACAAGACACGAACGCGTCGCTCAATGAGGAACAGACGACCAACGTCTCCTCCTCCTCATCCTCCACCTCCTCATCCTCATACCAGCGGTGTCAAGATCGGTCTCTGTGGAGGAGGCTCGTGAAGGACGCTGCTACTGGGCAGTTGGAGGCAGTCGCCATCCAACAACAACGGAAGGCGGAGGAGCCACGCTCACAACAACGAGCAGAGCACCGGGTGGCTAAAGCACAGCAAGTTTGCACAGTAGGGGGCACAGGTGGTGCATCAGCCACTCATCTCAGTCATCTCAGTCATCTTAGTCAGTCGACCCGTGGCACCTGCTGGGTCTGCCCCGTGACCTCCTGCCAGCGGGCACTCGACACTTCACGTGGTAGCCTCAAGGTGCACGTGGCCTGGCACAAGCGTCGTGGTGACGTCACCGCCACTGAGTGGCGAATGGCGGTGGTTGTTGTTGTTGTTGTGTGTACATCCTCCTCCCCCTCCTCATCCTCCTCCTCCTCCTCCTCCTTCTCCTCCTCCAATTCCGTGCCGCTCACCGTAATAGACCTTCTTCAGCCGGAAGCGCCAGTCCTTCTTGACGCGCGCGTTCGTGTTGGTGGCGGCCACGCCGCCGACGACGCCCCTCATGGCGCCCTCGTCCACCGTGATGTAGTGCTCCACGCCGCCGTTGAAGACCGACGCCGGGCTCGTGAACTGCGCCTGGGTGTTGCCCGCGATCAGCGTGGCGCTCGTCCCGTCCACCTTGAAGACCTCGCGGTCGCCCCGCGCCTCGAAGAAGCGGAAGAAGGCGCCGCTCGCCGACGGAAGGGCGACCTGCGTGGACGCGGTGGGCGGCGGGGGATCGGCGGTGGGCGGCCGGGGATCGGCGGGGGGGTCAACGTGGGCGGGGGGGGGGAAGGAGGTCATAGGTCAGGCCCAGTTCAGTGTGGGGTGGGAGAGGTGAGAAGGCTCTTGTTGGATTGGAGGTCGCGGGACAGACCCGGGAGATAACCCCTCTTAGCCGACGGCCATTGGTTCCATGAGACCGGTCGTTAAGTGAGTTGGCCATTAAGCGAGTATAGGGAAATGCACGTCAAAGGCTCAATTCGTTCCGGGAGCATCTGAAGTTACCCCTTTTTCACCCCCCCCCAAAAAATGTTTACTTTATAATCAAAAAATGCAGGTGTTTTTTTGGGTAAAATTGCGTAAATATATAAATGTTGCGTCGTTAAACCCACCACCACCCGACACAGCCAATTAGCAAAGTTTGTCACGTAAGCAGAACGTGGCCAGTTCGTTACGAGTACAGCACACCGGTGTGTTGGAGAGCCAAGCCGCAACATTTACACTCTGAGTACGACGTTTCGCCAGTAATTACAACTAGCATCGTCAGGCGAAAGCCAGATTTGTGGAGAAGTCCTGTTTTGTAAATATACTAACAAAATTATGAACACATAATATTAAAAGAAGGAAGGTTAATCAATGCATTCATTAATATTTACTGTAGCTACAACAGCCCGTCATTAACAGGGGAATGGTGAGCACATTGGGCTCTATGGAGGCACTACACTACACTATACACTACTATACACTACACTATACACTACACTATACACTACTATACACCACTACTAGATACGACACTACTATACACTACTATACACTACACAATTATATACACTACACATTGGGCTCTATGGAGACACTACACTACTATACACTATACTAATATACACTACACTATATACTACACTATACACTACACTATATACTACACTATATACTACACTATACACTACACTATATACTACACTATACACTGCACTATATACTACACAATACACTACACTATATACTACACTATACACTACACTATATACTACACTATACACTACACTATAAACTACACTATACACTACTATACACTACACTATACACTACACTAATATACACTACACTATACACTACACTATACAATACTATACACCACTATACACCACACTACACTATACACTACGCTATACTACACTATACACTACACTACACGATACACTACACTATACACTACACTATACACTACTATATACGACACTACTATACACAACACTACTATACACTACACTATACACTACTATACACTACACTATACACTACACTCTACACTACACTATACACTACACTCTACACTACACTATACACTACTATACACTACACTATACACTACACTCTACACTATACACTACACTGTACACTACACTCTACACTACACTATACACTACACTACACATTGGGCCCTTAGTACTCCTTGAGGCCACGTGAAGTGTCGAACGCCCGCTGGCAGGAGGTCACGGGGCAGACCCAGCAGGTGCCACGGGTCGACTGACTGAGATGACTGGCTGATGCACCACCTGTGCCCGCTACTGTGCCAACCTGCTGTGCTTTAGCCACCCGGCGCTCCGCCCATTGCTGCTGGAGGGCCGACTGCATCTAACCGAGACGGCAGCGACCTTCGCGAGCCTCTTCACGTGCACTCATGCCGCGCGCCCTATCACCTCTTTGTTGAAGGTGACGGTCCACTGGATCGCAACGTCGTTGGCGGAGGTGTTGTCGAAGCTGAATGAGATGGGCACGGAACCGGCTGTGAGAGGTTTGGGGGTGGGTGGGTGGGTTAGGGGGGTGGGAGAGAATCCACAAAGACGGGTTGTTACCCACAGCAAATGTGGTTTTGTTATGGGGTTAGAGCGCTTAAATACGAACGTGGTGTCGTTTAAATCCGCCCACCGTCGCCCAGCGCAGCCAATCTGCCGAGGGTGTTCGCGTCACGTGAACAAAACGTGGTGCCAATTCTTGGACTAGTTACAGCACAATGTCGGTTGTCGTGTGTTGGAGAGTGAAACCCACTGCAGCGTTTACAATTATAGTGTAGTTTATAGTGTAGTGTATAGTGTAGTATACTAGTTACCGCACTACACTGGTTGTGTGTTGGAGAGTGAAACCCACTGCAGCGTTTACAATTATAGTGTAGTTTATAGTGTAGTGTATAGTGTGGTATACTAGTTACCGCACTACACTGGTTGTGTGTTTGAGAGTGAATCCCACTGCAGCGTTTACAATTATAGTGTAGTTTATAGTGTAGTGTATAGTGTGGTATACTAGTTACAGCACTACACTGGTTGTGTGTCCACTGCAGCGTTTCAATTATAGTGTAGTTTATAGTGTAGTATACTAGTTACAGCACTACACTGGTTGTGTGTTGGATAGTGAAACCCACTACAACGTTTACAATTATAGTGTAGTTTATAGTGTAGTGTATAGTGTGGTATACTAGTTACAGCACTACACTGGTTGTGTGTTGGAGAGTGAAACCCATTGCAGCATTTACAATTATGGTGTAGTGTATAGTGTAGTATACTAGTTACCGCACTACGCTGATTGTGTGTTGGAGAGTGAAACCCACTGCAGCGTTTACAATTATAGTGCAGTGTATAGTGTGTATAGTGTGATATACTAGTTACAGCACTACAATTGGTTGTGTGTTGGATAGTGAAACCCATTGCAGCGTTTACAATTATAGTGTAGTTTATAGTGTAGTGTATAGTGTGGTATACTAGTTACAGCACTACACTGGTTGTGTGTTGGAGAGTGAAACCCATTGCAGCGTTTACAATTATAGTGTAGTTTATAGTGTAGTGTATAGTGTGGTATACTAGTTACCGCACTACAATTGGTTGTGTGTTGGAGAGTGAAACCCACTGCAGCGTCTACAATTATAGTGTAGTTTATAGTGTAGTGTATAGTGTGGTATACTAGTTACCGCACTACACTGGTTGTGTATTGGATAGTGAATCCCACTACAGCATTTACAATTATGGTGTAGTTTATAGTGTAGTGTATAGTGTGGTATACTAGTTACCGCACTACACTGGTTGTGTGTTGGAGAGTGAAACCCACTACAGCGTTTACAATTATGGTGTAGTGTATAGTGTAGTATACTAGTTACAGCACTACACAGTTGGTGAGTGGGGTGATGGGTGAGTTTGTGGATGAGTGGGGTGGTTGGTGGGTAAGGTGGTGGGTGAGTTGGTGAGTGGGGTGATGGGTGAGTTTGTGGTGAGTGGGGTGGTGGGTGGGTAAGGTGGTGGGTGAGTTGGTGAGAGGGGTGGTGGGTGAGTTTGTGGATGAGTGGGGTGGTGGGTGGGTAAGGTGGTGGGTGAGTTGGTGAGAGGGGTGATGGGTGAGTTTGTGGGTGAGTGGGGTGGTGGGTGGGTAAGGTGGTGGGTGAGTTGGTGAGAGGGGTGGTGGGTGAGTTTGTGGGTGAGTGGGGTGGTGGGTGGGTAAGGTGGTGGGTGAGTTGGTGGTGGGGTGATGGGTGAGTTTGTGGGTGAGTGGGGTGGTGGGTGGGTAAGGTGGTGGGTGAGTTGGTGAGAGGGGTGATGGGTGAGTTTGTGGGTGAGTGGGGTGGTGGGTGGGTAAGGTGGTGGGTGAGGTGGGTGGGTGGTGCGTGAGTTTGTGGGTGAGTGGGGTGGTGGGTGGGTAAGTGGTGGGTGAGGGGTGAGTTGGTGAGAGGGGTGGTGTTGTGGGTAAGGTGGTGGGTGAGTTGGTGAGTGGGGTGATGGGTGAGTTTGTGGGTGAGTGGGGTGGTGGGTGGGTAAGGTGGATTAGGGGTGGTGGAGGTGGCTCAGCCCTTCGAGCACTTGCCCACTCGCTGCGTTTGTTACCTTGAACGACGATGGTCACGCATCGGAGCTCCGTCTCTTGTCTGGTTTCAAAAGACAGAGAGAGAGAGAATCATTCAGACGGTCTGGGCAGGAAACAAACCCCACCTACGAGCGATGTCAAGGCTTAGTAGCAGCGCGCTCCTAGAAGCCTACCCATGGGGAAGGTTGGGACGGAGGCAGGGAGAGTGGGACAGATGGAGATTAGTCCACACTCGTTGCTGTGCCACCCACGGTTTTAGACAGAGGTGCAACGTAGGAATAGAAAGATAAAGATCCCCCATATAGCCTTAACAGACTGTAGGGGCAAGTGCTGTTAGCAAACACCTATGAAGGCCGGTAACGGTACACAAGGGGGTGGGTGGCCAGCACCACGCCCGACCGCCTTTGTCTCCCCAGTGGCAATGTTGACACACCGCACCAGGTACTCATTTGAGGCTGAGTCGACCTAGGGGAGGCCAGGACCGGTTCAGATAATCGTCACTAGGGTGTTGCCGTGAGCGGGAATCGAACCCGGGTCGCCAGGTTCATAGCGCAGCGCGCTAACCGCTACACTATCGCTCCCCACACACACACACAGACACACTTCGCACATACACAGACACACACACAGACACACACACACACACACACACACAGACACACACACAGACACACACACACAGACACACACACACAGACACACACACAGACCCACACACACAGACACACACACAGTCACACTCACCACAACACAGTCACACACACACAGACACCACTTCGCACAGACACACACACAGTCACACACACACACAGACACACACACAGACACACACAAGCACACAGACACACGCACACACAGTCACACACACACAGACACACACACAGTCACACACACACAGGCACACACACACAGTCACACACACACAGACACACACACACAGCACACACACACAGACACACTCACACAGACACACACACACAGACACACACACACAGACACACACAGACACACACACACACAGTCACACACACACACAGACACACACAGACACACACACACAGACACACACACACAAACACACACACAGTCACACACACAGACACACACACACAGACACACAACACAGACACACACACAGACACACACACAGTCACACACACAGTCACACACACACGACACACACACAGACACACACACAGACACACACACACAGACACACACAGAGACACACACACACAGACACACACACAGACACACACACAGCCACACAGTCACACACACACACAGACACACACACACAGACACACACACACAGACACACACAGACACACACACAGTCACACACACAGACACACACACAGACACACACAAGCACACAGACACACTCACGTGGTACTCTCGGAAGCGTAGAAGCAAACCCTCTGGTTGCCGATGTCTCTGCTGGCCGGCGTCCACGACACTTTTGTGTGGAAGAGTTTGGGGTCAAGCGCGTCCACCACCACGGGCGCCTTGGCGACTCCCACGGGAGCGAAGGTGCCCAGCCGTGTGATCGTCACTCTGAGGGGGTGTGGGGGGGGGGCAGAGGGGGAGGAGGGGGAGGGAAGAAGTGAGGGGGGGGTAGGGAGGGAGGGGGCAGAGGAGAGGGAGGGGTAGAAGTGGGGGGGGGTAGGGAGGGAGGTGGGGGGCAGAGGAGGAGGGGTAGAAGTGGGGGGGGGGGCAGTAGGGAGGTGGGGGGCAGAGGGGGAGAGGAGGGGGGGGGAAAAGTGAGGGGGGGGTAGAAGGGAGGTGGGGGGCAGAGGAGGAGGGGTAGAAGTGGGGGGCAGTTGGGAGGGTGGGGGGGCAGAGGGGAGAGGAGGGGAGGGTAAGAAGTGAGGGGGGGGGTAGAAGGGAGGTGGGGGGCAGAGGAGGAGGGGTAGAAGTGGGGGGGGGGCAGTAGGGAGGTGGGGGGGCAGAGGGGGAGAGGAGGGGGAGGGGAAGAAGTGAGGGGGGGGGGTAGGGAGGGAGGGGGGCAGAGGAGGAGAGGAGGGGGAGGGGTATAAGTGAGGGGGGCAGAAGTGGGGGGGGGGCAGAGGAGGAGAGGAGGGGGGGGGGTAGAAGTGAGGGGGCAGTAGGGAGGGGGGCAGAGGGGAGAGAGGGTAGAAGTGGGGGGGGGGGGGTAGAAGGGAGGTGGGGGGCAGAGGAGGAGGGCAGAAGTGGGGGGGGGGGGCAGAGGGGGAGAGGAGGGGGAGGGGTAGAAGTGAGGGGGGCAGTAGGGAGGGGGGAGGGCAGAGGAGGAGAGGAGGGGTAGAAGTCGGAGTCGGGGGGGGGGCAAGTAGGGAGGGGGAGGTCAGAGGGTGGCAGAGGGGGAGAGGAGAAGCAGACGTGTGGGGGGCAGTGGGGGGGCAGTGGGGGGGCAGTGGGGGGTGGCAGAGGGGGGGGGTCCACATGGGGTGAGGAGGGGGAGGGGCAGAGGGGGTGGGGGAAGACGGGCGGGGGGGGGGCACATAGGGAGAGAGGGGGGCACGCGTGGCATTACAGAGGCGTGATTGTGAATGTTTAATTACTTGCTTGTTTATTTATTTTATGATTATTATTATTTTTTGCATTGCCGCGGTGGCGAGATGCTACAATGGTCATCAACACAACCAACTGCAGCAGCAGCATAGCCACCACCACCACGTGTAGCAGCACCATAGCCACCACCACCACGTGTAGCAGCAGCATAGCCACCACCACCACCACCACGTGTAGCACCATAGCCACCACCACCACCACGTGCAGCAGCATATGCCACCACCACACCACGTGCAGCAGCACCATAGCCACCACCACCACCACGTGCAGCACCATAGCCACCACCACCACCACGTGCAGCAGCATAGCCACCACCACCACCACGTGTAGCAGCACCATAGCCACCACCACCACCACCACGTGCAGCAGCATAGCCACCACCAACCACGTGTATCAGCACCATAGCCACCACCACCACGTGTAGCAGCAACATAGCCACCACCACCACCACCACGTGTAACACCATAGCCACCACCACCACGTGTAGCAGCACCATAGCCACCACCACCACCACCACGTGTAGCAGCATAGCCACCACCACCACCACCACCACGTGCAGCAGCATAGCCACCACCACCACGTGTAGCAGGCACCATAGCCACCACCACCACGTGTATCAGCATAGCCACCACCACCACGTGCAGCAGCATAGCCACCACCACCACGTGCAGCAGCATAGCCACCACCACCACGTGTATCAGCATAGCCACCACCACCACGTGCAGCAGCATAGCCACCACCACCACGTGCAGCAGCATAGCCACCACCACCACGTGTAGCAGCACCATAGCCACCACCACGTGTATCAGCACCATAGCCACCACCCACCACCACGTGTATCAGCACCATAGCCACCACCACCACGTGCAGCAGCATAGCCACCACCACCACGTTGCAGCACCATAGCCACCACCACCACGTGTATCAGCACCATAGCCACCACCACGTGTATCAGCCCACCATAGCCACCACCACCACCACCACGTGTATCAGCACCATAGCCACCACCACCACGTGCAGCAGCACCATAGCCACCACCACCACGTGTAGCAGCACCATAGCCACCACCACCACCACGTGTAGCAGCATAGCCACCACCACCACGTGTAGCAGCACCATAGCCACCACCACCACGTGTAGCAGCACCATAGCCACCACCACCACCACGTGTAGCAGCACCACAGCCACCACCACCACCACGTGTATCAGCACCATAGCCACCACCACCACCACCACGTGTAGCAGCAGCATAGCCACCACCACCACCACGTGTAGCAGCAGCATAGCCACCACCACCACCACCACGTGTAGCAGCATAGCCACCACCACCACCACCACCACGTGTATCAGCACCATAGCCACCACCACCACGTGTAGCACCACCATAGCCACCACCACCACGTGTAGCAGCACCATAGCCACCACCACGTGTAGCAGCACCATAGCCACCACCACCACCACGTGTAGCAGCACCATAGCCACCACCACCACGTGCAGCAGTAGCATAGCCACCACCACCACCATAGCCACCACCACCACCACCACCGCCACCACCACCACCATAGCCACCACCACCACCACCTCCACCACCGCCACCCGCAGCAGCACGTGCCGCGGACTCACGAGCTGGCGGAGTTGGCGGCCACCTCGACGTCGATGTTCATCTCGAAGGGCACCCCCTGGCTGGCGGTGAAGGAGGCGCCGCTGGCCGGGGTGGCCCCCACGAAGATCGGCATCGTGCAGGACAGCGCCGGCTCGACTGCGGCGCGCGTGACGGGACAGAGACAGGCGGCGGCGTCATTGTCGTCGTCATTGTTGTTGTCGTCAATGTTGTTGTCGTCGTCAATGTCGTGGTCAATGTTGTCATTGTTGTCGTCAATGTTGTCGTCATTGTTGTCGTCAATGTTGTCGTCATTGTTGTCGTCAATGTCGTCGTCAATGTTGTCATTGTTGTCGTCAATGTTGTCGTCATTGTTGTCGTCAATGTTGTCGTCATTGTTGTCATTGTTGTCGTCAATGTTGTCGTCATTGTTGTCGTCAATGTCGTCGTCAATGTTGTCGTCATCGTCATCGTTGTTGTCGTCGTCGTCATTGTTGTCGTCGTCATCGTTGTTGTCGTCGTCGTCATTGTTGTCGTCGTCGTCAATGTTGTTATTGTTGTCGTCAATGTTGTCATTGTCATCGTCGTCATCGTCGTCATTGTTGTTGTCGTCGTCAATGTTGTCGTCAATGTCGTCGTCAATGTTGTCATCATTGTTGTCGTCATTGTTGTCGTCATTGTTGTCATTGTCATCGTCGTCATCGTCGTCATTGTTGTTGTCGTCGTCAATGTCGTCGTCAATGTCGTCGTCAATGTTGTCGTCATTGTTGTCGTCATCGTCGTCATTGTCATCGTCGTCATCGTCGTCATTGTTGTTGTCGTCGTCAATGTTGTCGTCATTGTTGTCGTCATCGTCGTCATTGTTGTTGTCGTCGTCAATGTTGTCGTCAATGTCGTCGTCAATGTTGTCGTCATTGTTGTCGTCATCGTTGTCATTGTCATCGTCGTCGTCGTCGTCATTGTTGTCGTCGTCGTCAATGTTGTTGTCATTGTTGTCGTCATCGTCGTCATTGTCATCGTCGTCGTCGTCGTCATCATTGTTGTCGTCATCGGTGTCGTAATCGTCGTCGCCATCGTTGTCATCGCTGTCGTTGTCATCGTCGTCATTGTCATCGTCGTCATTGTTGTCATCATCGGTGTCGTCATTGTCGTCGTCATTGTTGTCGTCATCGTCGTCGTCATCGTCGTCATTGCTGCCGTTGTCATCATCGTCATTGTCATTGTCTAGTCGTCATTGTTGTCGTCATCGTTGTCGTCATCGTTTTCGTCATCGTTGTCCTCGCTGCTGTTGTCATCGTCATTGTCATCGTCGTTGTTGTCATCGTTGTCGTCATCATCGTCGTCATCGTTGTCGTCATCGTCGTCGTCATCGTTGTCATCGTTGCTGTTGTCATCGTCGTCGTCGTCATCGTCGTCATTGTCATCGTCTAGTCGTCATTGTTGTCGTCATCGTGTCGTCGTCATCGTTGTCATCGCTGCTGTTGTCATCGTCGTCATTGTCATCGTCGTCGTCATCGTTGTCGTCGTCGTCATCGTTGTCGTCATCGTCATCGTTGTCGTAATCGTCGTCGTCATCGTTGTCATCGCTGCTGTTGTCATCGTCGTCATTGTCATCGTCGTCGTCATCGTTGTCGTCATCGTCGTCATTGTCATCGTCGTCGTCATCGTTGTCGTCATCGTCGTCATTGTCATCGTCTAGTCGTCATCGTTGTCGTCATCGTTGTCGTCATCGTCATTGCCCCCCGCCCGCTGCTCTCATTCCCCGCCCACCGCGTGCATAGACTCCGCCCATCGTGCCCATAGACCCCGCCCACTGCTTCTCACGCCCCGCCCACTGCTCTCACGCCCCCGCCCACTGCATTCACAGCAACCCCCCGCACATTTATTTCTGCGATGCGGTGGTGCCCTTGAGTACACGGAGACCACGAGGCGGGCGACTCACACTGAAGCAGGACCTGCAGTGGGCGACTCACACTGAAGCAGGACCTGCAGTGGGCGACTCACACTGAAGCAGGACCTGCAGTGGGCGACTCACACTGAAGCAGGACCTGCAGTGGGCGACTCACACTGAAGCAGGACCTGCAGTGGGCGACTCACACTGAAGCAGGACCTGCAGTGGGTGACTCACACTGAAGCAGGACCTGCAGCGGGATGCCAGACAGAGCGTCGCCCGGAGCGAGGCTCAGCGAGCCCACGGTCAGCGACGAGTTGACGGAGTCCTCGATCACCAGGGCCAGGGCCCAGAGGCCGTCGGCGTCCGCGGGCGCCGTGAAGGTGATGACGCAGGCGGCCTGTGCGGAGGGTGGGTGGTGGGGGGGGGGGGGGTGTGGCGAGGGGGGGAGGGTGGGGGGTAGTGACGTGTCAAAGGCAAAGTGATATCGTATGCTGAGTGAGCGGGTGGGTGAGTTGCTGAGTAAATGGGTGGGCGAGTTAGTGGGCGGGTGACTGAGTAAATGGGTGGGTGAGTTAGTGGGTGAGTGGGTGAGTAAATGGGTGGGTGAGTTAGTGGGCGAGTGGCTGAGTAAATGGGTGGGTGAGTTAGTGGGTGAGTGGCTGAGTTAATGGGTGGATGAGTAAGTGGGTCAGTAACTGAGTAAATGAGTGGGTGAGTTAGTGGGTGAGTGGCTGAGTAAATGAGTGGGTGAGTTAGTGGGTGAGTGGCTGAGTAAATGAGTGGGTGAGTTAGTGGGTGAGTGGCTGAGTAAATGAGTGGGTGAGTTAGTGGGTGAGTGGCTGAGTAAATGGGTGGATGAGTTAGTGGGTGAGTGGCTGAGTAAATGAGTGGGTGAGTTAGTGGGTGAGTGGCTGAGTAAATGGGTGGATGAGTTAGTGGGTGAGTGGCTGAGTAAATGAGTGGGTGAGTTAGTGGGTGAGTGGCTGAGTAAATGAGTGGGTGAGTTAGTGGGTGAGTGGCTGAGTAAATGGGTGGATGAGTTAGTGGGTGAGTGGCTGAGTAAATGAGTGGGTGAGTTAGTGGGTGAGTGGCTGAGTAAATGGGTGGGTGAGTTAGTGGGTGAGTGGCTGAGTAAATGGGTGGGTGAGTTAGTGGGCGGGTGGCTGAGTAAATGGGTGGGTGAGTTAGTGGGTGAGTGGCTGAGTAAATGGGAGGGTGAGTAAGTGGGTGAGTGGCTGAGTAAATGAGTGGGTGAGTTAGTGGGTGAGTGGCTGAGTAAATGAGTGGGTGAGTTAGTGGGTGAGTGGCTGAGTAAATGGGTGGGTGAGTTAGTGGGCGGGTGGCTGAGTAAATGGGTGGGTGAGTTAGTGGGTGAGTGGCTGAGTAAATGGGTGGGTGAGTTAGTGGGTGAGTGGCTGAGTAAATGGGTGGGTGAGTTAGTGGGTGAGTGGCTGAGTTAATGGGTGGATGAGTAAGTGGGTCAGTAACTGAGTAAATGAGTGGGTGAGTTAGTGGGTGAGTGGCTGAGTAAATTGGTGGGTGAGTAAGTGGGTCAGTAACTGAGTAAATGAGTGGGTGAGTTAGTGGGTGAGTGGCTGAGTAAATGGGTGGGTGAGTTAGTGGGCTGGTGGCTGAGTAAATGGGTGGGTGAGTTAGTGAGCGGGTGGCTGAGTAAATGGGTGGGTGAGTTAGTGGGTGAGTGGCTGAGTAAATGGGTGGGTGAGTAACTGGGTCAGTAACTGAGTAAATGGGTGGATGAGTTAGTGGGTGAGTGGCTGAGTAAATGAGTGGGTGAGTTAGTGGGTGAGTGGCTGAGTAAATGGGTGGATGAGTTAGTGGGTGAGTGGCTGAGTAAATGAGTGGGTGAGTTAGTGGGTGAGTGGCTGAGTAAATGAGTGGGTGAGTTAGTGGGTGAGTGGCTGAGTAAATGGGTGGATGAGTTAGTGGGTGAGTGGCTGAGTAAATGAGTGGGTGAGTTAGTGGGTGAGTGGCTGAGTAAATGAGTGGGTGAGTTAGTGGGTGAGTGGCTGAGTAAATGGGTGGGTGAGTTAGTGGGCGGGTGGCTGAGTAAATGGGTGGGTGAGTTAGTGGGTGAGTGGCTGAGTAAATGGGAGGGTGAGTAAGTGGGTGAGTGGCTGAGTAAATGAGTGGGTGAGTTAGTGGGTGAGTGGCTGAGTAAATGGGTGGGCGAGTTAGTGGGTGAGTGGCTGAGTAAATGGGTGGGTGAGTTAGTGGGCGGGTGGCTGAGTAAATGGGTGGGTGAGTTAGTGGGTGAGTGGCTGAGTAAATGGGTGGGTGAGTTAGTGGGTGAGTGGCTGAGTAAATGGGTGGGTGAGTTAGTGGGTGAGTGGCTGAGTTAATGGGTGGATGAGTAAGTGGGTCAGTAACTGAGTAAATGAGTGGGTGAGTTAGTGGGTGAGTGGCTGAGTAAATTGGTGGGTGAGTAAGTGGGTCAGTAACTGAGTAAATGAGTGGGTGAGTTAGTGGGTGAGTGGCTGAGTAAATGGGTGGGTGAGTTAGTGGGCTGGTGGCTGAGTAAATGGGTGGGTGAGTTAGTGAGCGGGTGGCTGAGTAAATGGGTGGGTGAGTTAGTGGGTGAGTGGCTGAGTAAATGGGTGGGTGAGTAACTGGGTCAGTAACTGAGTAAATGAGTGGATGAGTTAGTGGGTGAGTGGCTGAGTAATTGAGTGGGTGAGTTAGTGGGTGAGTGGCTGAGTAAATGGGTGGATAAGTTAGTGGGTGAGTGGCTGAGTAAATGGGTGGATGAGTTAGTGGGTGAGTGGCTGAGTAAATGAGTGGGTGAGTTAGTGGGTGAGTGGCTGAGTAAATGAGTGGGTGAGTTAGTGGGTGAGTGGCTGAGTAAATGGGTGGGTGAGTTAGTGGGCGGGTGGCTGAGTAAATGGGTGGGTGAGTTAGTGGGTGAGTGGCTGAGTAAATGGGAGGGTGAGTAAGTGGGTGAGTGGCTGAGTAAATGAGTGGGTGAGTTAGTGGGTGAGTGGCTGAGTAAATGAGTGGGTGAGTTAGTGGGTGAGTGGCTGAGTAAATGGGTGGGTGAGTTAGTGGGCGGGTGGCTGAGTAAATGGGTGGGTGAGTTAGTGGGTGAGTGGCTGAGTAAATGGGTGGGTGAGTTAGTGGGTGAGTGGCTGAGTAAATGGGTGGGTGAGTTAGTGGGTGAGTGGCTGAGTTAATGGGTGGATGAGTAAGTGGGTCAGTAACTGAGTAAATGAGTGGGTGAGTTAGTGGGTGAGTGGCTGAGTAAATTGGTGGGTGAGTAAGTGGGTCAGTAACTGAGTAAATGAGTGGGTGAGTTAGTGGGTGAGTGGCTGAGTAAATGGGTGGGTGAGTTAGTGGGCTGGTGGCTGAGTAAATGGGTGGGTGAGTTAGTGAGCGGGTGGCTGAGTAAATGGGTGGGTGAGTTAGTGGGTGAGTGGCTGAGTAAATGGGTGGGTGAGTAACTGGGTCAGTAACTGAGTAAATGAGTGGATGAGTTAGTGGGTGAGTGGCTGAGTAAATGAGTGGGTGAGTTAGTGGGTGAGTGGCTGAGTAAATGGGTGGATGAGTTAGTGGGTGAGTGGCTGAGTAAATGGGTGGGTGAGTTAGTGGGTGAGTGGCTGAGTAAATGGGTGGGTGAGTTAGTGGGTGAGTGGCTGAGTAAATGGGTGGGCGAGTTAGTGGGTGAGTGGCTGAGTAAATGGGTGGGTGAGTTAGTGGGTGAGTGGCTGAGTTAATGGGTGGATGAGTAAGTGGGTCAGTAACTGAGTAAATGCGTGGGTGAGTTAGTGGGTGAGTGGCTGAGTAAATGGGTGGGTGAGTTAGTGGGTGAGTGGCTGAGTAAATGAGTGGGTGAGTTAGTGGGTGAGTGGCTGAGTAAATGAGTGGGTGAGTTAGTGGGTGAGTGGCTGAGTAAATGGGTGGATGAGTTAGTGGGTGAGTGGCTGAGTAAATGGGTGGATGAGTTAGTGGGTGAGTGGCTGAATAAATGAGTGGGTGAGTTAGTGGGTGAGTGGCTGAGTAAATGGGTGGGTGAGTTAGTGGGTGAGTGGCTGAGTAAATGAGTGGGTGAGTTAGTGGGTGAGTGGCTGAGTAAATGGGTGGGTGAGTTAGTGGGTGAGTGGCTGAGTAAATGGGTGGGCGAGTTAGTGGGCGGGTGGCTGAGTAAATGGGTGGGTGAGTTAGTCGGTGAGTGGCTGAGTAAATGGGTGGGTGAGTTAGTGGGTGAGTGGCTGAGTAAATGGGTGGATGAGTTAGTGGGTGAGTGGCTGAGTAAATGAGTGGGTGAGTTAGTGGGTGAGTGGCTGAGTAAATGGGTGGATGAGTTAGTGGGTGAGTGGCTGAGTAAATGGGTGGATGAGTTAGTGGGTGAATGGCTGAGTAAATAAGTGGGTGAGTTAGTGGGTGAGTGGCTGAGTAAATGAGTCGGTGAGTTAGTGGGTGAGTGGCTGAGTAAATGGGTGGGTGAGTTAGTGGGTGAGTGGCTGAGTAAATGGGTGGGTGAGTTAGTGGGTGAGTGGCTGAGTAAATGAGTGGGTGAGTTAGTGGGTGAGTGGCTGAGTAAATGGGTGGGTGAGTTAGTGGGTGAGTGGCTGAGTAAATGGGTGGGTGAGTTAGTGGGCGAGTGGCTGAGTAAATGGGTGGGTGAGTTAATGGGTGAGTGGCTGAGTAAATGAGTGGGTGAGTTAGTAGGTGAGTGGCTGAGTAAATGAGTGGGTGAGTTAGTGGGTGAGTGGCTGAGTAAATGGGTGGGTGAGTTAGTGGGCGAGTGGCTGAGTAAATGGGTGGGTGAGTTAGTGGGCGAGTGGCTGAGTAAATGGGTGGGTGAGTTAGTGGGTGAGTGGCTGAGTAAATGGGTGGGTGAGTTAGTGGGCGAGTGGCTGAGTAAATGGGTGGGTGAGTTAGTGGGTGAGTGGCTGAGTAAATGGGTGGTTGAGTTAGTGGGTGAGTGGCTGAGTAAATGAGTGGGTGAGTTAGTGGGTGAGTGGCTGATTAAATGAGTGGGTGAGTTAGTGGTTGAGTTGCTGAGTAAATGGGTGGATGAGTTAGTGGGTGAGTGGCTGAGTAAATGGGTGGATGAGTTAGTGGGGGAGTGGCTGAGTAAATGGGTGGATGAGTTAGTGGGCGAGTGGCTGAGTAAATGGGTGGGTGAGTTAGTGGGCGAGTGGCTGAGTAAATGGGTGGGTGAGTTAGTGGGCGAGTGGCTGAGTAAATGGGTGGGTGAGTTAGTGGGTGAGTTGCTGAGTAAATGGGTGGGTGAGTTAGTGGGTGAGTTGCTGAGTAAATGGGAGGGTGAGTAAGTGGGTGAGTGGCTGAGTAAATGAGTGGGTGAGTTAGTGGGTGAGTGGCTGAGTAAATGAGTGGGTGAGTTAGTGGGTGAGTGGCTGAGTAAATGGGTGGGTGAGTTAGTGGGCGGGTGGCTGAGTAAATGGGTGGGTGAGTTAGTGGGTGAGTGGCTGAGTAAATGGGTGGGTGAGTTAGTGGGTGAGTGGCTGAGTAAATGGGTGGGTGAGTTAGTGGGTGAGTGGCTGAGTTAATGGGTGGATGAGTAAGTGGGTCAGTAACTGAGTAAATGAGTGGGTGAGTTAGTGGGTGAGTGGCTGAGTAAATTGGTGGGTGAGTAAGTGGGTCAGTAACTGAGTAAATGAGTGGGTGAGTTAGTGGGTGAGTGGCTGAGTAAATGGGTGGGTGAGTTAGTGGGCTGGTGGCTGAGTAAATGGGTGGGTGAGTTAGTGAGCGGGTGGCTGAGTAAATGGGTGGGTGAGTTAGTGGGTGAGTGGCTGAGTAAATGGGTGGGTGAGTAACTGGGTCAGTAACTGAGTAAATGAGTGGATGAGTTAGTGGGTGAGTGGCTGAGTAATTGAGTGGGTGAGTTAGTGGGTGAGTGGCTGAGTAAATGGGTGGATAAGTTAGTGGGTGAGTGGCTGAGTAAATGGGTGGGTGAGTTAGTGGGTGAGTGGCTGAGTAAATGGGTGGGTGAGTTAGTGGGTGAGTGGCTGAGTAAATGGGTGGGCGAGTTAGTGGGTGAGTGGCTGAGTAAATGGGTGGGTGAGTTAGTGGGTGAGTGGCTGAGTTAATGGGTGGATGAGTAAGTGGGTCAGTAACTGAGTAAATGCGTGGGTGAGTTAGTGGGTGAGTGGCTGAGTAAATGGGTGGGTGAGTTAGTGGGTGAGTGGCTGAGTAAATGAGTGGGTGAGTTAGTGGGTGAGTGGCTGAGTAAATGAGTGGGTGAGTTAGTGGGTGAGTGGCTGAGTAAATGGGTGGATGAGTTAGTGGGTGAGTGGCTGAGTAAATGGGTGGATGAGTTAGTGGGTGAGTGGCTGAGTAAATGAGTGGGTGAGTTAGTGGGTGAGTGGCTGAGTAAATGGGTGGGTGAGTTAGTGGGTGAGTGGCTGAGTAAATGAGTGGGTGAGTTAGTGGGTGAGTGGCTGAGTAAATGGGTGGGTGAGTTAGTGGGTGAGTGGCTGAGTAAATGGGTGGGCGAGTTAGTGGGCGGGTGGCTGAGTAAATGGGTGGGTGAGTTAGTCGGTGAGTGGCTGAGTAAATGGGTGGGTGAGTTAGTGGGTGAGTGGCTGAGTAAATGGGTGGATGAGTTAGTGGGTGAGTGGCTGAGTAAATGAGTGGGTGAGTTAGTGGGTGAGTGGCTGAGTAAATGGGTGGATGAGTTAGTGGGTGAGTGGCTGAGTAAATGGGTGGATGAGTTAGTGGGTGAATGGCTGAGTAAATAAGTGGGTGAGTTAGTGGGTGAGTGGCTGAGTAAATGAGTCGGTGAGTTAGTGGGTGAGTGGCTGAGTAAATGGGTGGGTGAGTTAGTGGGTGAGTGGCTGAGTAAATGGGTGGGTGAGTTAGTGGGTGAGTGGCTGAGTAAATGAGTGGGTGAGTTAGTGGGTGAGTGGCTGAGTAAATGGGTGGGTGAGTTAGTGGGTGAGTGGCTGAGTAAATGGGTGGGTGAGTTAGTGGGCGAGTGGCTGAGTAAATGGGTGGGTGAGTTAATGGGTGAGTGGCTGAGTAAATGAGTGGGTGAGTTAGTAGGTGAGTGGCTGAGTAAATGAGTGGGTGAGTTAGTGGGTGAGTGGCTGAGTAAATGGGTGGGTGAGTTAGTGGGCGAGTGGCTGAGTAAATGGGTGGGTGAGTTAGTGGGCGAGTGGCTGAGTAAATGGGTGGGTGAGTTAGTGGGTGAGTGGCTGAGTAAATGGGTGGGTGAGTTAGTGGGCGAGTGGCTGAGTAAATGGGTGGGTGAGTTAGTGGGTGAGTGGCTGAGTAAATGGGTGGTTGAGTTAGTGGGTGAGTGGCTGAGTAAATGAGTGGGTGAGTTAGTGGGTGAGTGGCTGATTAAATGAGTGGGTGAGTTAGTGGTTGAGTTGCTGAGTAAATGGGTGGATGAGTTAGTGGGTGAGTGGCTGAGTAAATGGGTGGATGAGTTAGTGGGGGAGTGGCTGAGTAAATGGGTGGATGAGTTAGTGGGCGAGTGGCTGAGTAAATGGGTGGGTGAGTTAGTGGGCGAGTGGCTGAGTAAATGGGTGGGTGAGTTAGTGGGCGAGTGGCTGAGTAAATGGGTGGGTGAGTTAGTGGGTGAGTTGCTGAGTAAATGGGTGGGTGAGTTAGTGGGTGAGTTGCTGAGTAAATGGGTGGGTGAGTTAGTGGGTAAGTAGCTGAGTAAATGAGTGGGTGAGTTAGTGGGTGAGTGGCTGAGTAAATGGGTGGGTGAGTTATTGGGTCAGTAACTGAGTAAATGAGTGGGTGAGTTAGTGGGTGAGTGGGTGAGTGGCTGAGTAAATGAGTGGATGAGTTAGTGGGTGAGTGGCTGAGTAAATGGGTGGATGAGTTAGTGGGTGAGTGGCTGAGTAAATTAGTGGGTGAGTTAGTGGGTGAGTGGCTGAGTAAATGGGTGGATGAGTTAGTGGGTGAGTGGGTGAGTAAATGAGTGGGTGAGTTAGTGGGTGAGTGGCTGAGTAAATGGGTGGGTGAGTTAGTGGGTGAGGAAATGGCTGGATGAGTTCGTGGGTGAGTGGCTGCGTAAATGAGTGGGTGAGTTAGTAGGTGAGTGGCTGAGTAAATGAGTGGGTGAGCGACTAGATTAGTGGGTGGGCGGGCGAGTGAGTGAATTGACCGGAGTGAATCCTAGCCAGGGCTGAATCACACATCCATCACCCTTCTGACCTACCGACCGACCTACAGCTGCCACTCTGAATTCCCGCTCACGGCTACCAGCAAAGGAGACAGTGAATGTCTGAACCGTACCCGGGCCTCCTTCCCCTAGGTCGACTCAGCCTCAAATGAGTACCTGGTGTAGCGGTGTGTAGCAGTACACATTGGCCACTGGGGAAAGACAAAGGCGGCCCGGCGTGGCGTTAGCCCCCTCGTGCGCCGTGCCGGCCTTCAAAGGTGCTCACTTGCAGTGCTCGCCCCAACAGGGGTGAGGTTCTGGCAGCAGTGACAGTGATCCGCCCACTCACCCACCCACCCACCTTTCCCCCCCCAACTACCACTGGCCTGTACACCCACCCACCATTCCCCCACCCACCCATTCACCTTTCCACCCCCACCCACCCACCCACCTTTCCCCCCCAACTACCACTCACCTTTACACCCACCCACCATTCCCCCACCCACCCATTCACCTTTCCACCCATCCACCACATTCCCCCTCACCCATCACTCACCCCCCTTACCCCCCCCCCCCCCAAGTCACCCACCCCACCCCCCCCTACCTCGTCGAGGACTCCGTAGGGGGCGACTCCGCAGATGCCTCCACACTCGTCACGTGCTCCCTTCTCGGCGTATCGGCACCGCACCGTGTCGCCGTCAGCATCGTACACCGGGATGTTCCACACGGTGGTGCAGCCGGCCTTCAGCCTGGGGGGGTGGGTGTCGGCACGAAGCATGATGAATGTACAATGACACATCACAAGAGTAAACGGGGACTTCCTCTACTTACGCACGAGTTAGTTTCCCAGAGGTACTGTTCGCAAGTCGAATTGTTCATGAGTCCGAACGCGTTGTACGGCATGTAAACTAAATACGGGGAATGGCTGTGAAGGTTGTATAATCTCCTGCAAATGTAGATGCCACTGGTTCTTCACGTTCTGCAGATGTAGATACCACTGGTTCTTCGCGTTCTGCAGATGTAGATGCCATTGGTTCTTCACGTTCTGCAGATGTAGATACCACTGGTTCTTCACGTTCTGCAGATGTAGATGCCACATGTTCTTCGCGTTCTGCAGATGTAGATGCCACTGGTTCTTCATCTTCTGTAGATATAGATGCCACTGGTTCTTCACGTTCTGCAGATCTAGATGCCACTGGTTCTTCACGTTCTGCAGATGTAGATGCCACTGGTTCTTCACGTTCTACAGATGTAGATACCACAGGTTCTTCACGTTCTGCAGATGTAGATGCGGCTGGTTCTTCACCTTCTGCAGATGTAGATGCCACTGGTTCTTCACGCTCTGCAGATGTAGATGCCACTGGTTCTTCACGTTCTACAGATGTAGATACCACTGGTTCTTCACGTTCTGCAGATTTAGATGCGACTGGTTATTCACGTTCTGCAGATGTAGATGCCACTGGTTCTTCACGTTCTGCAGATTTAGATGCCACTGGTTCTTCACGTTCTGCAGATTCAGATGCCACTGGTTCTTTACGTTCTGCAGATGAAGATGCCACTGGTTCTTCACGTTCTGCAGACGTAGATGCCATTGGTTCTTCACGTTATGCAGATGTAGATGCCACTGGTTGTTCACGTTCTACAAATGTAGATGCCACTGGTTCTTCAGGTTCTGCAGATGTAGATGACACATGTTCTTCGCGTTCTGCAGATGTAGATGCCACTGGTTCTTCACGTTCTGCAGATGTAGATGCCACTGGTTCTTCACGTTCTGTAGATGCCACTGGTTCTTCACGTTCTGGTGATGTAGATGCCACTGGTTCTTCGCGTTCTGCAGATGTAGATGCCACTGGTTCTTCATCTTTTGTAGATGTAGATGCCACTGGTTCTTCACGTTCTGCAGATCTAGATGCCACTGGTTCTTCACGTTCTGCAGATGTAGATGCCACTGGTTCTTCACGTTCTACAGATGTAGATACCACAGGTTCTTCACGTTCTGCAGATGTAGATGCGACTGGTTCTTCACCTTCTGCAGATGTAGATGCCACTGGTTCTTCACGTTCTGCAGATGTAGATGCCACTGGTTCTTCACGTTCTACAGATGTAGATACCACTGGTTCTTCACGTTCTGCAGATTTAGATGCGACTGGTTATACACGTTCTGCAGATGTAGATGCCACTGGTTCTTCACGTTCTGCAGATTTAGATGCCACTGGTTCTTCACGTTCTGCAGATTTAGATGCCACTGGTTCTTTACGTTCTGCAGATGAAGATGCCACTGGTTCTTCACGTTCTGCAGACGTAGATGCCATTGGTTCTTCACGTTATGCAGATGTAGATGCCACTGGTTGTTCACGTTCTACAAATGTAGATGCCACTGGTTCTTCAGGTTCTGCAGATGTAGATGCCACATGTTCTTCGCGTTCTGCAGATGTAGATGCCACTGGTTCTTCACGTTCTGCAGATTTAGATGCCACTGGTTCTTCACGTTCTGCAGATGTAGATGCCACTGGTTCTTCACGTTCTGGTGATGTAGATGCCACTGGTTCTTCACGTTCTGCAGATGTAGATGCCACTGGTTCTTTACGTTCTGCAGATGTAGATGCCACTGGTTCTTCATGTTCTGCAGATGTAGATGCCACTGGTTCTTCACGTTCTGCAGATGTAGATGCCACTGGTTCTTCACGTTCTGTAGATGCCACTGGTTCTTCACATTCTGCAGATGTAGATGCCACTGGTTCTTCACGTTCTGCAGATTTAGATGCCACTGGTTCTTCACGTTCTGCAGATGTAGATGCCACTGGATCTTCACGTTCTGTAGACGTAGATGCCACTGGTTCTTCACGTTCTGCAGATGTAGATGCCACTGGTTCTTCACGTTCTGCAGATGAAGATGCCACTGATTCTTCACGTTCTGCAGACGTAGATGCCATTGGTTATTCACGTTATATAGATGTAGATGCCACTGGTTCTTCACGTTCTACAGATGTAGATGCCACTGGTTCTTCACGTTCTGCAGATGTAGATGCCACTGGTTCTTCACGTTCTGCAGATGTAGATGCCACTGGTTCTTCACGTTCTGCAGATTTAGATGCCACTGGTTCTTCACGATCTGCAGATGTAGATGCCACTGGTTCTTCACGTTCTGCAGATGTAGATGCCACTGGTTCTTCACGTTCTGCAGATTTAGATGCCACTGGTTCTTCCCGTTCTGCAGATGTAGATGCCACTGGTTCTTCACCTTCTGTGGATGCCACTGGTTCTTCACATTCTGTAGATGTAGATGCCACTGGTTCTTCACGTTCTGCAGACGTAGATGCCATTGGTTCTTCACGTTATGCAGATGTAGATGCCACTGGTTCTTCACGTTCTGCAGACGTAGATGCCATTGGTTCTTCACGTTCTGCAGATGTGGATGCCACTGGTTCTTCACGATCTGCAGATGTAGATGCCACTGGTTCTTCACGTTCTGCAGATGAAGATGCCACTGATTCTTCACGTTCTGCAGATGTAGATGCCACTGGTTCTTCACGTTCTGCAGATGTAGATGCCACTGGTTCTTCACGTTCTGCAGATGTAGATGCCACTGGTTCTTCACGTTCTGCAGATGTAGATGCCACTGGTTCTTCACGTTCTGTAGATACCACTGGTTCTTCACATTCTGCAGATGTAGATTCCACTGGTTCTTCACGTTCTGCAGATGTAGATGCCACTGGTTCTTCACGTTCTGCAGATGTAGATGCCACTGGTTCTTCACGTTCTGCTGATGTAGATGCCACTGGTTCTTCACGTTCTGCAGATGTAGATGCCACTGGTTCTTCACGTTCTGCAGATGTAGATGCCACTGGTTCTTCACGTTCTGCAGATGTAGATGCCACTGGTTCTTCACGTTCTGTAGATACCACTGGTTCTTCACATTCTGCAGATGTAGATTCCACTGGTTCTTCACGTTCTGCAGATGTAGATGCCACTGGTTCTTCACGTTCTGCAGATGTAGATGCCACTGGTTCTTCACGTTCTGCTGATGTAGATGCCACTGGTTCTTCACGTTCTGCAGATGTAGATGCCACTGGTTTTTCACGTTCTTCAGATGTAGATGCCACTGGTTCTTCACGTTCTGCAGATGTAGATGCCACTGGATCTTCACGTTCTGTAGACGTAGATGCCACTGCTTCTTCATGTTCTGCACATGTAGATGCCACTGGTTCTTCACCTTCTGCAGATGTAGATGCCACTGGTTCTTCACGTTCTGCAGATGTAGATGCCACTGGTTCTTCACGTTCTGCAGATGTAGATGCCACTGGTTCTTCACGTTCTGCAGATGTAGATGCCACTGGTTCTTCACGTTCTGTAGATGCCACTGGTTCTTCACGTTCTGCAGATGTAGATGCCACTGGTTCTTCACGTTCTGCAGATGTAGATGCCACTGGTTCTTCACGTTCTGTAGATGCCACTGGTTCTTCACGTTCTGCAGATGTAGATGCCACTGGTTCTTCACGTTCTGCAGATGTAGATGCCACTGGTTCTTCATGTTCTGCACATGTAGATGCCATTGGTTCTTCACCTTCTGCAGATGTAGATGCCACTGGTTCTTCACGTTCTGCAGATGTAGATGCCACTGGTTCTTCACGTTCTGCAGATGTAGATGCCACCACCGCCACCACACCTCCCCCTCACCTCCCCCCACCTCCCCCCCCACCTCCCACCCACACCTCCTCCCACATCTCCCCCACACCTCCCCCTCACCTCCTCCCCACCTCCCCCCCACCTCCCACCCACACCTCCACCCACATCTCCCCCACACCTCCCCCCACACCACCCACACTTCCCCTACCTCCCACCCACACCTCCCCCCAAAACCTCCACCCACACCCTCCCCCACACCTCCCCTCACGCCCACCTCCCTCCAACCTCCATCCAACCTACCCCACACCTCCCCCCACCTGCCCCCCACCTCCCACCCACACCTCCCCCCACACCCCCCCCCCGCCCCCCCCGCCCCCCCCCATCCACAGCACCTGATGAGCGGCTTGGAGGCGGTGACGGGGGAGACGTTCGGGGCCCCCGTGTCGCTGCGCACGCCCGGGTTGAGCACCGTGATGAGCGACCAGTCCCACTCGGACGCCTCCACGAGGCCGCTCGTCCTCTGCACCAGCGCCTTGACCCAGCAGCAGTCGTCGAAGCTGCCGGGAGAGACGGGCGACGAGGAGGAGGAGGATGGGGAGGAGGATGAGGAGGATGAGGAGGATGGGGAGGAGGATGAGGAGGGGGATGAGGAGGATGAGGAGGAGGATGAGGAGGGGGAGGAGGATGCACACACAACAACAACAACAACCACCGCCATTCGCCACTCAGTGGCGGTGACGTCACCACGACGCTTGTGCCAGGCTACGTGGACCCTGAGGCTACCACGTGAAGTGTCGAGCGCCCGCTGGCAGGAGGTCACGGGGCAGACCCAGCAGGTGCCACGGGTCGACTGACTAAGATGACTGAGATGACTGAGATGAGTGGCTGATGCACCACCTGTCCCCCTACTGTGCCAACTTGCTGTGCTTTAGCCACCCGGTTCTCCGCTCGTTGTTGTGAGCGTGGCTCCTCCGCCTTCCGTTGTTGTTGGATGGCAACTGCCTCCAACTACCCAGTAGCAGCGTCCTTCACGAGCCTCCTCCACAGAGGCCGATCTTGACACCGCTGGTACCAGTCATCGGCAAGTCCACTCAGCTCCACGTCCTCATGTACCACATCACTCCATCTCCTCTCTAGCCCATGCCGCGCCCTTTTAGCCCCCTCGATCCGGCCGAACAAAAGCTGCTTGGGCATGCGGTGGCTGGGCATGCAGGCTACATGACCCAGCCAACACAGCCGGAGGATCTCACCGATGGGACTTTATCCAGATCTATCAAGGATTTGTGAGCTCCTCAAACATTCCAGCCTGCTGGTTAAACCCAGGATAGATCGTAGGCAGGCAAGCCTAAATGTTTCTAATCGGTGAAGATGTTCCATTAGGGGGGTCCACGTTTCGCAATCTTAGAGAAGGGAGGGAACGACTGTGGCCGAGAAGACCTGAAGCTTCATGCGGAGCGACAGACCAGGTAGCTTCCACACAGCGTTACGCAACCGATGAAAAGATAATGCTGCTCGACTGATTCGGAGTAACACCTCTGCTATCAAATCGGAGCCGGTCATGAGCACACTGCCCAGGTATGGGAAACTCTCCACTCTCTCCACAACTTCCCTATCACCAATTGGGAGTTGTGGGGGTGGAGTGTCCGATGGTACGGACACACACACGTACACACGCACGTACACACACGTACACACACACGTACACACGCACACACACACACACAGACAGACGACGACGTCGACTCACGATACGACGGTGGGCCGAGATGCTGGCACGTCGAACTCGAAGCTGGAGGTGCCGATCATCCAGTTGGAGTTTTCGTTTTGCTCCGTGCACACGAAGGTGAGGGCGTACGAGCCCTGACAACCCTCCCGGCACTTCCACTTCTGCTTGGACTTGATGAGCGCTCCGCTGTCGATGTCTGCGTCCGTGCATTTCGCTCCCTCGTCCGAGGTCCTGCGCCAGGCCAGCATGTAGTTGAAGAGCACCTGTGGTGGTGGTGGTGATTGTGGTTGTGGTGGTGGTGTGGTGGTTGTGGTGGTGTGGTGGTTGTGGTGGTGGTGATTGTGGTTGTGGTGGTGTGGTGGTGGTGGTTGTGGTGGTGTGGTTGTGGTGGTGTGGTGGTGGTGGTTGTGGTGGTTGTGTTGGTCGTGGTGGTGGTGGTTGTGTTGGTCGTGGTGGTGTGGTGGTTGCGGTGGTTGTGCGGTGGTGGTGTGGTGGTGGTTGTGGTGGCGTGGTGGTGGTTGTGGTGGTGTAGTTGTGGTGGTGGTGGTAGTGGTGGTTGTGGTTGTGGTGGTGTGGTGGTGGTTGTGGTGGTGTGGTGGTGGTTGTGGTAGTGGTGGTTGTGGTTGTGGTGGTTGTGGTGGTGGTTGTGGTGGCGTGGTAGTGGTGGTTGTAGTGGTGGTGGTTGTGGTGGTGTGGTGGTGGTTGTGGTGGTTGTGGTGGCGTGGTATTGGTGGTGGTGGTGGTGGCGTGGGATTGGTGGTGGTGGCGTGGTGGTGTGGTGGTGGGTGTGGTAGTGGTTGTGGTGGTTGTGGTGGTGGTTGTGGTTGTGGTGGTTGTGGTGGTGGTGGTTGTGGTAGTGGTGTGGTTGTGGTAGTGGTGGTTGTGGTGGTGGTTGTGGTGTGGTAGTGGTGGTCGTGGTGGTTGTGGTGGTGGTGTGGGGAGAAGTTGTTCAGCAGTTAGTGCGCAGTCGCCACGAACCGGCCCACCCGAGTTCGATTCCCGCTCACGGCCACCAACACCACAATGACGACCGGTCCTGGGCATCCTCCCCTAGGTCGACTCAGCCTCAAGCGAGTACCCGGTGCTGTGTGTGTAGTAAACATCGCCACTGGGGAGACAAAGGCGGCCGGGCGTGGCTTTTAGCGAGCGCCTTCATAGGCGTTCGCTAACAGCACTTGCCCCAACAGTCTGTGCAGGCTACAACGTGGGGGGGGCCTTTGTCTTTGTCTGGTGTGTGCTGGGTGGAGTTGGGGAGGGGTCAGAATCAGAATCAGCGTTTTATACCGCTGGAGGAGGAATCCGAAGCGTCATAAAGCTCTTTGCTCACAACGGCAAACAATTACGCGACCGTATTCTTGATTCTTTAGGTAAAGTCACCACCACGTAGAAGGGAAACAATAAAATAATGAAAAAATAAAAAAAACAATATAATTATTATTCTTGGTTCTTTCGGTAAAGTCACCACCACGTAGAAGGGAAACAATAAAATAATAAAAATATAAAACAATAAAATTATTATTCTTGGTTCTTTCGGTAAAGTCACCACCACGTAGAAGGGAAACAATAAAATAAAAAAATATAAAACAATAAAATTATTATTCTTGGTTCTTTCGGTAAAGTCACCACCACGTAGAAGGGAAACAATAAAATAATAAAAATATAAAACAATAAAATTATTATTCTTGGTTCTTTCGGTAAAGTCACCACCACGTAGAAGGGAAACAATAAAATAAAAAAATATAAAACAATAAAATTATTATTCTTGGTTCTTTCGGTAAAGTCACCAGCAAGTAGAACGGAAACAATACAATAATAAAAATATAAAACAATAAAATTATTATTCTTGGTTCTTTCGGTAAAGTCACCACGTAGAAGGGAAACAATAAAATAATAAAAATATAAAACAATAAAATTATTATTCTTGGTTTTTTCGGTAAAGTCACCACCACGTAGAAGGGAAACAATCAAATAAGAAAAATATAAAACAATAAAATTATTATTCTTGGTTCTTTCGGTAGTCACCACGTAGAAGGGAAACAATAAAATAATAAAAATATAAAACAATAAAATTATTATTCTTGGTTCTTTCGGTAAAGTCACCACCACGTAGAAGGGAAACAATAAAATAATAAAAATATAAAACAATAAAATTATTATTCTTGGTTCTTTCGGTAAAGTCACCACCAAGTAGAAGGGAAACGATAAAATAATAAAAATATAAAACAATAAAATTATTATTCTTGGTTCTTTCGGTAAAGTCACCACCACGTAGAAGGGAAACAATAAAATAATACAAATATAAAACAATACAATTATTATTCTTGGTTCTTTCGGTAAAGTCACCACCACGTAGAAGGGAAACAATAAAATAATAAAAATATAAAACAATACAATTATTATTCTTGGTTCTTTCGGTAAAGTCACCACCACGTAGAAGGGAAACAATAAAATAATAAAAATATAAAACAATAAAATTATTATTCTTGGTTCTTTCGGTAGTCACCACGTAGAAGGGAAACAATAAAATAATAAAAATATAAAACAATAAAATTATTATTCTTGGTTCTTTCGGTAAAGTCACCACCACGTAGAAGGGAAACAATAAAATAATAAAAATATAAAACAATAAAATTATTATTCTTGGTTCTTTCGGTAAAGTCACCACCAAGTAGAAGGGAAACGATAAAATAATAAAAATATAAAACAATAAAATTATTATTCTTGGTTCTTTCGGTAAAGTCACCACCACGTAGAAGGGAAACAATAAAATAATACAAATATAAAACAATACAATTATTATTCTTGGTTCTTTCGGTAAAGTCACCACCACGTAGAAGGGAAACAATAAAATAATAAAAATATAAAACAATACAATTATTATTCTTGGTTCTTTCGGTAAAGTCACCACCACGTAGAAGGGAAACAATAAAATAATAAAAATATAAAACAATACAATTATTATTCTTGGTTCTTTCGGTAAAGTCACCACGTAGAAGGGAAACAATAAAATAATAAAAATATAAAATAATAAAATTATTATTCTTGGTTCTTTCGGTAAAGTCACCACGTAGAAGGGAAACAATAAAATAATAAAAAATAAAACAATACAATTCTCACGACGTTTCGACTGCAACACCAAGCAGCAATCATCATCAGGTGTGAAAACCACAGCAATATTTTTTTTTATTTTTTTTATTTTTTCAAAATTTTTTGCTGTGGTTTTCACAGCTGATGATGATTGCTGCTTTGTGTTGCAGTCGAAACGTCGTGAGAATTGTATTCTTTTATATATTTTTATTTATTATTATTTTATTGTTTCCCTTCTACGTGGTGGTGACTTTACCGAAAGAACCAAGAATATGAATCCCTGCAGTCACGAAAGCTTTAAATCAACAATTACGCGACCGGTTAAACAAATCAGCAAATACAACAGAAGCCCTCCACCCCCCCCCCCCCCCCATCATCACCGAGGCAATTGGCCCACGGAGCTTTTTTAAAAATTCGTCGTTTCCTAAGCGACCTGGCCCATCGCGAGTGACAACCAATGATCATATTTTGTTACTGGCAAATGAGGTTTTTTTTCCAATGGTGTAAATGCTTAACCCGAGCTCTCATACTCTGATGGTGGCGTTGTCTTTGAGTTGTGCGCCTTTTGGCGTCTTCTGGTCCAATACCAACGTGAGACTGGGCTCTAAAGAAAGCCGTCTCGGGTGTGGACCAATCAATTTCAAGGACAGTGCCACATACATTATCAGAGTTGTTGTTTTTTGTTTGCGTTCCGACCGCAGGTATTGTGGTCAATGTAAACATGACTCCTTGTCAAAAAAAAGGTGTCAGTTTTGCTGCCAGATAAAAGGGTAAAAAACCAATTATCATATTTTGTTACTGGCAAATGAGGTTTTTTTTCCAATGGTGTAAATGCTTCACCCGAGCTCTCATACTCTGATGGTGGCGTTGTCTTTGAGCTGTGCGCCTTTTGGCGTCTTCTGGTCCAACACCAACGTGAGACTGGACTCTAAAGAAAGCCGTCTCGGGTGTGGACCAATCAATTTCAAGGACAGTGCCACATACATTATCAGAGTTGTTGTTGTTTTTTGTTTGCGTTCCGACCGCAGGTATTGTGGTCAATGTAAACATGACTCCTTGTCAAAAAAAGGTGTCAGTTTTGTTGCCAGATAAAAGGGTAAAAAACCAATGATCATATTTTGTTACTGGCAAATGAGGTTTTTCCAATGGTGTAAATGCTTAACCCGAGCTCTCATACTCTGATGGTGGCATTGTCTTTGAGTTGTGCGCCTTTTGGCGTCTTCTGGTCCAACACCAACGTGAGACTGGGCTCTAAAGAAAGCTGTCTCGGGTGTAGATCAATCAATTTCAAGGACAGTGCCACATACATTATCAGAGTTTGTGTTGTTTTTTGTTTGCATTCCGACCGCAGGTATTGTGGTCAGTGCAAAAATGACTCCATGTTAAAAAAAGAGGTGTCAGTTTTGTTGGCAGATAAAAGGATAAAAAAAAACAATTATCATAGGAATAGGTTTTACCGGCACAAAAACTGACACCTTTATTCAAGGCATCATGTTTGCAATAACCACAACACAAGCAGTCAAAATGCAAACAAAAAAGACAACTCTGATAACAATAATAATATTGGCACTGTCCTTGAATTTGATTGGTCCACACCCGAGACGGCTTTTCTTAGAGCCTTGAATAAAGGTGTCAGTTTTTTGTGCCAGTTAAAAGGGTAAAACCTATTCCTATATCTTGTTACTGGCAAAGGAGGTCTCATAATGTAAAAAAAAAGAATTATCATATTTTGTTACGGGCAAATGAGGTTTCCAATGTAGTGACAGCCACTCAACAAAGTCTGGCTTAGGGGACGTCCATAAATGACGTCACGCACCTAGGGCGGGCGGGGGGGGGGGGTTACACATGTGTGTCGATGTGTGACGAAGGGGGGAGGGAGAAATGTGACGTCACATCAAAATGTGGAGAACTTTAATTAAATAAATGAAGACAACTCGTTTCTACTTAATTAAATAGACGTTTTAATAAATGTTTTCTTCTACAACATCAAAGTGCAGCGCCACGTTAAATACGCACTACAATGGCAATAGTTTAAAGCGATTTGAAGAATGTTCTATATATGTTTTTTTTGGGGGGGGGGGTAGAGCTTTGTGACGTCATATTTGAGGGGGGTCTGACTTTTTGTGACGTCGTGTGACGAAGCGGGGGCGGGGCGGGGGGTAAAAAATCGTCCAAAATAGCGTGACGTCATTTATGGACGGCCCCTTATCGCGTGGGTAGGTGGGTAGGTGTCAGGGTGGTGGAGTTGGGTGGACGGAGAGAATTGAGATTGGGCGTCGTTCGGGAGTTAAAATAATAAAATAATTATCAGAAAGAGTGGCGTTACTACATTAACCAGGGCGCACCCCGGTGGCTAGGAGATGTTAACTACCTCGCCTGGTGTGCAGGAGGTCGTGGGTTCGATCCCGACCCTTGTCGATTGCCTGCTGCTGCTGTATATTTGGAGACTGTGTGTGTCTCTCTCTCTCATCATCACGGTGGCTAGGAGATGTTGACTACCTCGCCTGGTATACAGGAAATCGTGAGTTCGAGACCGACCCTTATTACGCCTGCTGTGTACACTATACACTACTATACAATACACTGCACTATATACTACTATACAATACACTACACTATACACTACACTACTATACACTACACTACTATACACTACACTACTATACACTATACACTACACTACTATACACTACACTATACACTACTAGACACTACACTATACACCACACTACACTATACACTACACTATACACTACACTACTATACACTACACTGCTATACACTACTATACACTACACTATACACTGCACTACTATACACTACACTATACACTGCGGCACACGAGGGGGTGGGTGGCCAACACCACGCCCGGCCGCCTTTGTCTCTCCTCGGTGGCGATGTTTACTACACACACCGCTACACCAGGTACTCATTTCGGGCTGAGTTGACCTAGGGGGGGAGGGGTGCCCATGACCGGGAATCGAACTCGGGCGGCTCGGTGTCGCAGCTCAACGCCCCGCGCTACTCACTACAAAGACAAAGCCAAAGATCTCCCCCCCCCCCGTATAGCCTCAACAGGCTTTTGGGGCAAGTGCTGTTTGCGAGTAGGACCCAACCACTACCGCTACACACAACAAGAAAAACAACGCCACTGAGTGGCTGCGACGTCACCACGGCGCCTGTGCCAGGCTAGGTGCACTTTGAAGGGTCGAACGCCCGATGGCAGGAGGTCACGGGGCTGACCCAGGTGCCACGGGATGGCCGACTGAGATGACTTGCCCGATGCACCACCTGTGCCCCCTGCTGTGCCAACTTGCTGTGCTTTAGCCACCCGGCGCTCCGCTCGTTGTTGTGAGCGTCGCTCCTCCGCCCTCCGTTGTTGTTGCTGGAGGGCGACTACCTCCAACTGCCCAGTAGCGTCCTTCACGAGCCTCCTCCACAGAGGCCGATCTTGACACCGCTGGTACCAATCGGCAAGTCCACTCAGCTCCACGTCCTCCTGTACCATCTCTTCTCTAGCCCGTGCCGCGCCAGTTTTGCCCCCGATATCCGGCCGAACAAAAGCTGTTTGGGCATGCGGTGATTGGGCATGCGGGCTACATGATCCAGTCAACGCGGCCTTGCCTGCCAGAGGAGCTCACCGATGGGACTTTGTCCAGATCTTTCAAGGGTTTGTGAGCTCCTCACACAATCCAGCCTGGTTAAATTCCAGAATGGGTCGTAGGCAGGCCAGCTTAAATGTTTCTAGCCGGCAAAGATGTTCCATTAGGGGGGGGGGGGGGTCTTCGTTTTGCAAGCATAGTGAAGGGAGGACATGACCATGGCCGAGAAGACCCGAAGCTTCAAGTGGAGCGACAGACCAGGCAGCTTCAACACAGCGTTACGTAGCCGATGAAAAGATAATGCCGCTCAAATGATTCGGGGTTAGACCTCAACTGTCAAACCGGAGCCAGTCATAAGCACACTGCCCAGGTATGGGAAACTTTCCACTCTTTCCAAACTGCCCCATCACCAATTGGGAGTTGTGGGGGTGGAGTGTCTGATGGCACAAAATACCCAGGCAGGTGCTTAGTTTCGGTGGGGCTGATGGTAAGGCTCCACCTCTTAGTGGCACGCTCCAGGTTCAGCAGTAGCGCCTTCAACTCCTTCTCTGAGTGAGCAGCAATCACCAGATCATGAAGATACCTAACATGGTTAACCAATAAGGAGCCATCCCTTGACTGCACCCGGGCATCGATCAGCCTTCCATTGTATCTGTAGCAGCTGAAAATTCCTCCGGTACAGCCATCGAAGGCTTCACGAACTACATGGTTGAAATAGATGTTAAATAATGCTGGAGCCAGAGGACATCCCTGTCGCACCCCAAGGTGAACAGGGAATGGCTCCGACTCCCGGCCACGTAGTTTTACCCGGGCCCGCTCACCATCATGAAGGTCCTTAATGATCGTGAGCAGCGGGTCAGGGACTCCGAAAGCACAAAGAATAACACAGAGCCCAGGCCTACTGATGGTATCATAGGCCTTGACCAGGTCAATAAAGCAGAGATGTAGGTCCCGTTGGAATTCCCTCCACCCTCTGCTGTAGCAGACGGACAGAAAATATGGCATCTGTGCAGGACCGCCCTGGCCTGAAGCCGCATTGGGGCTCCGCAAGCCTCTCCTCAGCGTGCCTGGCAAGGCGATGTTGAATCATCCTTGCCAGGACCTTTCCCGGCACAACGAGGAGGGAAATGCCCCTGTAGTTGTTACAGTCTGTGCACACACGCTTACACACACACACTAAGTGGCGGTGACATCACCACGGCGCTCGTGCCAGGCTAGGTGCAAGGTTGAGGCCACGTGAAGTGTCGAACGCCCGCAGGCAGGAGGTCACGGGGCAAACCCAGCAGGTGCCACGGGTCGACCGACTGAGATGACTTGCCCGATGCACCACCTGTGCCAGGCTAGGTGCACCAGGAGGTCACGGGGCAGACCCGGCAGGTGCCACGGGTCGACTGACTGAGATGACTTGCCCGATGCACCACCTGTGCCAGGCTAGGTGCACCAGCAGGTCACGGGGCAGACCCAGCAGGTGCCACGGGTCGACTCACTGAGATGACTTGCCCGATGCACCACCTGTACCAGGCTAGGTGCACCAGGAGGTTACGGGGCAGACCCAGCAGGTGCCACGGGTCGACCGACTGAGATGACTTGCCCGATGCACCACCTGTGCCAGGCTAGGTGCACCAGGAGGTCACGGGGGCAGACCCAGCAAGTGCCACGGGTCGACCGACTGAGATGACTTGCCCGATGCACCACCTGTGCCAGGCTAGGTGCACCAGGAGGTCACGGGGCAGACCCAGCAGGTGCCACGGGTCGACCGACTAAAATGACTTGCCCGATGCACCACCTGTGCCAGGCTAGGTGCACCAGGAGGTCACGGGGCAGACCCAGCAGGTGCCACGGGTCGACCGACTGAGATGACTTGCCCGATGCACCACCTGTGCCAGGCTAGGTGCACCAGGAGGTCACGGGCACAAAAAGGCAAAAATCCCCCGTATAGCCTGAACAGACTGTTGGGGCAAGTGCTATTAGCGAGCACCCTATGAAGGCCGGCACGGCATGCGAGGGGGTGGGTGGCTAACACCACGCCTGGCCGCCTTTGTATCCCCAGTGGCGATGTTTACAAACCGCATTGGGTACTCATTTGAGGCTGAGTCGAAATAGGGGAGGCCCAAGACCGGTTCAGATAATTCATTATGTAACAGGATTTTTGTTCCTGGGTAGTAAGTGTTATTTCCTAATTGCTTATGCCTCAAAAGTGTAGAAAATGGCTTTTATTGTAACCCACACACTTTGCTCTTGAGACCAGTACTTTACGTGAAGGAATGACGCAAATTCGCCCGTTATCTCATTGAAAATAGCCACATTGCGAAACATCACTGTCCTGGCCACAAAAGCAAAGTATGCGGGTAATAATAATACAAAAAACGTTCTGCACCTTTGAGGCATAAGCAATTAGGAATTAACGCTTACTATACCCAGGGACAAACAAGAATCACTGATGTCGGCCGTGAGCGGGGAATCGAACTCGGGTTCGAAGCGCAGCGTAGCGCCCCCCCCCCCCCCACTCTGCCAACTCGACGCTTCGCGCACGCACAGACACGCGCGCGCATCCTCACCTTGCCACTTTCCTCTTGGATCCAGGAGATGGTGCCACCTCTCAGGTGGGTGGCATCCACCCCCAGCGCGGCCACCATCACCACCACCACGAGGCCACCAAACGCGAGCCTCATGATGACAGTGGGAGATCAAGTTTCGTGTGGGTAGCAGCAGCAGCAGCAGTAACAGCAGCAACAGGAGGAGGAGGAAGGAGGATCGAGAAGCGATTGGCGGTGCGTTTTGTGGAGCCCTTGCACCACAAGGACAAAGCTTCCCTCGTGTAGCCTTTAACGGACTGTCGGGGGCTCAGCTGTGAAGATCACCCACACACACACAGACAGACTTCACTCACACGCACTCAGAGGGAGAGATGGAGAGAGAGAGAGAGATGGACTGTCTGCTGTGCCAGTCTTCTCATCACCACCCCCCCGGTCTCTGGAGAGTTCAGGGAGGGGATGACGCTTCTTATAGATGCCACGATCGCGACGGGGTCACACCCTTGGCCGTGACTTGGTGGCTATTTGGCCCAGGGCTTGGGCAAGGTCGCTCATCCACAGACATTCGTCCCCGGGGGTGGGTTTGGGAACTCGATCCCAAGTTTTCAGGGCAGGAGGTTCGTGGGTTCGATCCCGACCCTGACCATGCCTGCTGCTGCTGTATATTTCGAGTTCCGCATCTCTCTCTCTCTCTCATCGTCATCACTGCGGCTAGGAGATGTTGACTACCTCGCCTGGTATGCAGGAGGTCGTGGGTTCGATCCCGACCCTGACGGCTGCTGCTGCTGCTGTATATTTGGAGTGTGCATTTGCATCTCGTGGTCGCTCGGATTCTTCTCCACATTTAGCAACACGCGTTTAGAGTATTCTGCTGCTGCTATGAATTTCCACGTGATGGTGACATCAGCCACTTGGTCGATTTGCTATCATTTGTGATGGGCCAAGGTCGCTTCTGAAAAAGTGGCTACTGCGTACTTCAGAGGGGCCTTGCCTGATAACAATAAAACATAATTTAGTTCAATCTATGGGTCTCTGTGTATCTCTATGGGTCTCTGTGTATCTCTATGGGTCTCTATGTATCTCTATGGATCTCTAACTATCTCTATGGGTCTCTATCTCTGTGGGTCTCTATGTATCTCTATGGGTCTCTATATATCTCTGTCGGTCTCTGTGTAGCTCTATGGGTCTCTGTGTATCTCTATGGGTCTCTGTGTATCTCTAAGGGTCTCTGTGTATCTCTATGGGTCTCTATATATTTCTGTGGGTCTCTATGTATCTCTGTAGGTCTCTGTGTATCTCTGTGGGTCTCTGTGCATCTCTATGGGTCTCTGTGTATCTCTGTGGGTCTCTATGCATCTCTATGGGTCTCTGTGTATCTCTGTGGGTCTCTATACATCTCTATGGGTCTCTGTGTATCTATATCGGTCTCTATGTATCTCTATGGGTCTCTATATATTTCTGTGGGTCTCTATGTATCTCTATTGGTCTCTGTGTATCTCTGTAGGTCTCTGTGTATCTCTATGGGTCTCTGTGTATCTCTATGGGTCTCTATGTATCTCTATGGATCTCTAACTATCTCTATGGGTCTCTATCTCTGTGGGTCTCCATGTATCTCTATGGGTCTCTATATATCTCTGTCGGTCTCTGTGTAGCTCTATGGGTCTCTGTGTATCTCTATGGGTCTCTGTTTATCTCTGTGGGTCTCTGTGTATCTATATGGGTCTCTATGTATCTCTATGGATCTCTAACTATCTCTATGGGTCTCTATCTCTGTGGGTCTCCATGTATCTCTATGGGTCTCTATATATCTCTGTCGGTCTCTGTGTAGCTCTATGGGTCTCTGTGTATCTCTATGGGTCTCTATATATCTCTGTGGGTCTCTATGTATCTCTGTAGGTCTCTGTGTATCTCTGTGGGTCTCTGTGTATCTCTATGGGTCTCTGTGTATCTCTGTGGGTCTCTATGCATCTCTATGGGTCTCTGTGTATCTCTGTGGGTCTCTATACATCTCTATGGGTCTCTGTGTATCTCTATCGGTCTCTATGTATCTCTATGGGTCTCTATATATTTCTGTGGGTCTCTATGTATCTCTATTGGTCTCTGTGCATCTCTGTAGGTCTCTGTGTATCTCTGTGGGCCTCTGTGTATCTCTATGGGTCTCTATGTATTTCTGTTGGTCTCTATGGGTCTCTGTGGGTCTCTATATATCTCTGTGGGTATCTATGTATCTCTATTGGTCTCTGTGTATCTCTGTAGGTCTCTGTGTATCTCTGTGGGTCTCTATGTATATCTATTGGTCTCTGTGTATCTCTATGCGCTGAGAATATTTGACTGCCGCTCTGAGAATCCACGTGATAATTCACCATTTGGCTGAGTTGAAATCATTTGTGATAGCCAGATCATGGCTTTGTGAAAAAGAGACACAACATAGCTTAGTGGGGGCCTTGATTAGTAACATTATACATGGAAAACAACTTAGTTCAGTAGTTTTGAATATTGAGGGTCCTGGTGAGATGATAATGATCATCCTGGCGAGATGCAAGAACCCTGTTTGCTCCATCGCCACTCACCTTGCCTGATAAGATAAATGAAAAAACTATTTTTTTTAATTGACATTTAAGCGACGTTACATTATGTTCCGATATTTTTTTTACTTGGTCTTAAATTATTTCCCTTAGCCCGTGAAAAAAAAGACAATAGCGTGACCTTCTTCAAGCCACCACCAGTACCACCACCCACTCACGCCACGCCAAAGGCAAAGGTCCCCCGTGTAGTCTTAACACACCACTGGGGAAAGTGCTGTTAGCGAAGTAGCACCTCTGAAGGCCGGCACGGCACGCGAGGGGCGGTGGGTGGCCAGCACCACGCCCGGCCGCCTTTGTCTTCCCGAATGACGGCGTTTACACGCCGGGGACTCATTTGCGGCCGAATCCACCTAGGGGAGGCCCAGGACCGGTTCAGATAATCGTCAGTGGGAGGTGTTGGTGGCCGTGAGCTGGGAATCGAACACGGCGAGCTAGCCGCTACCACCACCACCACCACCCATAACCACCACCACCACCACCCCCCACCAATGCCCCCCACCACCACCCCCTACCACCACCGCCCATCAACCCCATCCACACCACCACCACCACCCTCCACCACCACCACCCCACCACCGCCCCACCCACACCACCCCACCCGCGCCCAGCCCCGTGGCCATTCCGGAACGATCCCTTTGTTGTTTTTTTGTCTTCTTGGTCTCTGAGCGCGACGGCAAATACTGCAGGCGGGACAGAAGTAATAATACTACTACTACATGAGCATAACAACGCTGTCACCTCACTAGATGGAAATTGCAAGACATGCGGCCGGAGGGCGTGGAACGACGTGTGGTGAGTGGGGGGGGGGGTAGGTGGGTGGGTAGGGGAGTGAGCGGGCAGGTAGGCTGATAGAAAGCCATAGACTCAGAGACCCCGAGACTCGGAGAGCCATTGACTCAGAGACCCAAAGCCTCAGAGATCCATAGACTCAGAGACCCATAGACTCAGAGACACATAGACTCAGAGACCCATAGATTCAGAGACCCCGAGACTCAGAGACCCATAGATTCAGAGACCCCTAAATACACAGACACATAGACTCAGAGATCCATAGACTAAGAGACACATATACTCAGAGACCCATAGACTCAGAGACCCATAGCCTCAGAGATACATAGACTCAGAGACCCATAGCCTCAGAGATCCATAGACTCAGAGACCCATAGACTCAGAGACCCCGAGACTCAGAGACCCATAGATTCAAAGACCCCTAAATACACAGACCAATAGACTCAGAGATCCATAGAGTCAGAGATCCATAGACTCAGAGATCGATAGACTCAGAGACCCTGAGATTCAGAGATCCATAGGCTAAGAGACCCCTAGCCACAGAGATCCATAGACTCAGAGACCCCTATGCTCGAGATCCATAGACTCAGAGATCCATAGACTTGGAGACCCAGAGACTCAGAGATCCATAGACTCAGAGACCCATAGACTCAGAGATCCATATACTCAGAGACCCATAGACTCAGAGATCCATAGACTCAGAGACCCATAGACTCTGAGATCCATAGACTCGGAGATCCATAGCCTCAGAGATCGATAGACTCCGAGACCCTGAGATTCAGAGATCCATAGACTCAGAGACCCCAATACTCGAGATCCATAGACTCAGAGATCCATAGACTTGGAGACCCAGATACTCAAAGATCCATAGACTCAGAGAGCCATAGGCTCAGATACCCATAGACTCAGAGATCCAGTCTCAGAAACCCATAGACTCAGAGATACATAGACTCAGAGACCCCTAGACTCAGAGATCCATAGTCTCAGAGATCCATAGACTCAGAGATCCATAGACTCAGAGACCCATCGACTCAGAGACCGATAGACTCAGAGATCCATAGACTCAGAGACCCCTAGTATCAGAAATCCATAGACTTGGAGACCCATTGACTCAGAGATCCATAGACTCAGAGACCCATAGACTCAGAGATGCATAGACTCAGAGACCCATCGACTCAGAGACCGATAGACTCAGAGATCCATAGACTCAGAAACCCCTAGACTCAGAAATCCATAGAATCAGAGCCCTATAGAATCAGAGACCCATAGACTCAGAGATCCAGTCTCAGAGACCCATGGACTCAGAGATACATAGACTCCGAGACACTTAGACTCAGAGATCCATAGTCTCAGAGATCCATAGACTCTGAGATGCAGAGACTTAGAGACCCATCGACCCAAAGACCGATAGACTCAGAGATACATAGACTCAGAGACCCATAGCCTCAGAGACCCATAGACTCAGAGGCCCCGAGATTCAGAAATCTATAGACTCAGAGACCCACAGTCTCAGATATACATAGACTCAGAGATCCATAGTCTCAGAGATCCATAGACTCAGAGACCCCTAGACTCAGAGACCCATAGGCTCAGAGATCCATAGACTCGGAGATCCATAGGCTCAGAGATCGATAGACTCAGAGACCCTGAAATTCAGAGATCCATAGACTAAGAGACCCCTAAACTCAGAGATCCATAGACTCAGAGACCCCTATACTCGAGATCCATAGACACAGAGATCCATAGGCTTGGAGACCCAGAGAC